CTTAAATAATATATTATGGTCAATTAACACATAGTATATGGCCAGTCAATACATAATATGTTTTGACTGGCCAGAAAAACAACTTTCACATTACCTCATCTAGCTCATAAACTATTAGACATATAGCTTTGATTCTAATTTTATTTTAAAGATTAATATTTAGGCTACACATTGATATAAAATTTGTTTGGTTAAACATAAATTTTAATACCTTTTTTTCAAAAAAGCAAAAACATGGCCATTCATGCCACATTTCCCCTACTTAAAAAAACAAGTTTAATTATGTTTAAAAATTTCTAGTTGAAGCTTTTGTATTCTCTTTTCAAAAATTCATTTTTTTTAAAAAAAAATTCTTAGAAATAAAAAATAGCTTTTAAAAGCTTTTAATTTAATCTACCCTTATTTTATTCAAAAAATTACTCGCGTAAAAATATTAGCAAATTTACTAAATATAATTCCGGCAAAAGAGAGGTCTTTTAAAAAATTAAAATATAATGTTATTAAATAATTCGAATATTATATACACGGAATTCTAATATAATCCGGGTCTGGCCTTTAGTTTGTAATTCTTTTTTAAAGTTTACAATTTAAGCAAATTGTCCTTCATAAAGGATTATTACCTGCTAGCTAAAATAATCTCTCTTTTTCATATTACAGAGATAATAGGTTTTTGTCAAATGTAAAAAGTAATATATAATTTTTCAAATTTTTATTAAATTTAAAATTCTTAATTCGAAATACTTTCTATTTTTGCAATTTAATATTTATGTAGAAAGTTTTCAAACAAAAAAAAATGTAATGGTTTTTTTTTTTTTAAAAAAAAATAAAATTTCTATATATACTTAGTATAGCAATTAGGCATTAATAATTTAAGAGTAAAATAAATTATGGTAATAAACGAAGTGGTATAATTATTATAAATATTTTTATTAATTGTTATTGCTTTATTTATATATAGTCAAATTGTTAAATTACCTATTAATCAAACTTTTAGTCTAAAAAATTGAATTAAGCCTCTAAGTTGAGTCTCAGCTTGAATTGATTATAATATTTTTGGTTAGAAACATGGCCATGCTGTTTCATAGTTGACTAAAGTTAGGTAAATTTAACAATACTATAATCAATATGTTTTTTTCCAACAATGTGTTATTTTTTCAACTATAAAATCATTTTTTGAGCGCGTTTTTTAAAATTCAAAAAAATCTGATTTTTCCAGAAATGTATTCTATCATGTTTGAAATAGCCACCCTATGAATTTGAGACAATTTTTTTCATAAACTTTGAAACTTAATATAAAATAAAAAAAAATTTAATAAATATTCAAAATTAAATAACTTTATATTTCAGCCAATAGAGTCAAATCAACTAACTAAAATTTTTCACAGTCTACATATTTTTTTTTTAAAACTTTATCACTAAAAATTTTTTAACATAACATAACAAAAATCGCGAATCCTTATTTCTTAAACAAAAACTTTTTAAAGACAATTATACTTGTTTTTTTAGGTACATTTTCATTATTAAATTAAACTCTTTTTATTTTAGAGCCTTAGATACTTTTTATAATATATATTTATTTTTATTCAGTAATTTTATATATTTTTATATTTCTTGTTTTAATAGTTTGTTTTATCATTTTTATAAATAAAAACATAAGGTTGGGAAAAAAAAATAAAATAATTTATATTCGATTTTCCATATATTTTTTATATAAATTATAAACGACTCAAAAGGTTAACAGCAAAATTGTCTACAATTCATAAGATGGGTATTCCAAACATGAAGGAATACATTTCTGGTAAAATCGGATATTAAAATTTATTAAAACAATGTTCTAAAAATATTTAGGATTTAAGATGACCATAATGAATTAAATATGGCCTCTAATTGGATTTTTTTTTTGCAAACTATAAATATGTTAATGTGGCGGTAATTCATAAATCATCATCTTAGAAAAAAAAAATATGGAATATTCTTTATGAAATTAATAGAAAATTGAATAGAGAATTGGTATATTTCATATACCAGTAAAAAAATTATTAATATGTGTAAAAAATATTCATTTTTTGTGCTATTAAATATATTATGTTATTTATATTGATAAAATTTCATCGTATACTTTTTTAATAACTCTCTACATAAATAACATGATTGTTAAAATTACCCGCATGGGACTTTCCCGTTTCTACTATCACATTAATATTGACTATATTGTTGATAATAATAAAGAAAGAAAGAAAAAAAAAATTAATTATTTAATAAAATTTTATGTTAAAATTAACAAATTTCCAAAATAAAATGAAAACTTGCTTTTATAAGCTTTCAAAACTTTAAGATATATCTCAATATTTTAATGAAGAGAGAATAGTATTAAATTATCATATTCGAAACAAAATTAGTTATCTCAAAGACTTAGACTAAATAAGAAAAATCATGAACCGTAGTGTTGTTAAACGGCTCGATTTAAGCCGATTTTTTAAAAAAAAGGCTAACTCAATATTTTAGCCGGAAAAATATTATCTAAGTCTCGAGATTTCATTAACAGATGTTCAAACCTTTGTTGCCACTTATGAGCAAAATCTTAAGTTTTGCATAATAATATTGAGTTAGCCGTTTTTAAAATCGGCTCAAAATGAGCCGTTTAACAATACTCTTTGAACCGTATTATGTATAAAACTAATTATCCCCTATTTTATAAACTATGTGATGTATTTGATTAAAAATAAAATAAATTGAAGTTAAATGAGATTTTCAAAATATCTTAAAAAAATTCTCTCGCCGTAATATTTTAAATTTGAAGTCTACAATTTTTTTAGATGAAACATTGAAACATTTAACCAAAAAAAATATATATAATAGATCATAGTGGCCCAAAAATAACATTTTGAATCTAAGATATGGAACGTGGTTTCAATTACACACACCATGTAATTGATTTAAAAATTTAATTATAAGATATTTATTATATAATTTGCTGGTATGTGGAATGAGATGCACTGCACAATATCCAATACGGTGTTAAAACCTATGGAGCACGATGGTAGAAAGAAATGCTTAGTGTGAGAATTAATAAAGGGCAACATTCTATTAATATAGTGGTAAAATAGCTTCGTATTTTACTAGTGAATCTAGAGCAAGAATGCCATACTTTACTCGGACTATACCAAAACAGGATGTACTAACCTTCGGTAAAAAGAGACTGAAACTTTATAGACTTCGTGATTTCGCTAGGAAAGTACTCTTGAAATGAATCTTTTACATCCTTGGATTAATACTCCATGCCATAAGAACCTCCTTTTTTGCTCTACTAATCTCGACAAAATAAAATATATTCCCTCAAATTATAATGCGACTTCTAACTTATTTATATTCATTCTCTTACAATTATATTTTGCTTGCATTCAAAAATTTATAAAATTTTTTTAAATCTATGAATATTCCAAAGTAAGAGTGCCCAAATAAATTAATATGAAATATAAACTGAATTATGAAATTAAATTTATTTTTAAAATATGCAGCGCGCTTAACTAACCCAAGTGAAAAATTTTAAAATCCATTGCTGGCATTAGACTTTTGTACACAGGTCTAGATATTACCTAGTATTATTACAGATGCGAATTACAAAAGATTATAAATAAAAAAAAAATTTTATTTAATCACATTTTAAATAATTTTAAACTTGTTTTTATTATATAAAATTGAAAATATTAATATTTATAAAATAATCAAAATTTTTAGATTTCAAAATCAATTTTGTTACTCATAAGTTATAATGTTTTTGAAAAGATACTTTTTAACATTCAAATTTTCATCGATACAAAGCCCCACAAAATGCTTATGATGTTTTTTTGTAATAATAAGATATATATTTCATGGACAAGGAATGAAGGTGTGGAAAATTTTATTTTTTGATGCTTTATAATTATTCAGAATTCATATTCTTTTAAAAACTAAAGTTTTTTTCTAAAAAAATATTTATGAATTATCCAAATTTAACTAACTAAATAATAGACTTTACAAAATGATTAACTAGCAAACTATCCAATTAGGTTGCAAGCTAGATAATACACAAAACTAGTATGCAATTTTTGTTTTTGATTTTTTTTTCTTCATATATTTTATAATTTATTTTAAAATTTTTCTCCATTTTAAGCACATTTTTAAATATCTCATTATTTAAAAAAAAAAAATTTGACATTATATATGTGATGGATTATGTGGAATTTTAAAAATAATATATTTATAAAAATAATTATCAATTGTAATTAATTGATTTATATAATTGTTAGACTTTAATTTTTTTTAAAAAAAATATTTAAATAAATAAATGTTAAATAAATAAAAATTAAATATTTTAAAGAGATATATTAATAGATGATTAATTTATTATCATATTATTCGATATATATTAATGTAATTATAATTAATTTTTTTATTTTATTTATTTACTCTATTTCCAAAAACGTATTTACAATAGTAAGGTATCAGGATAACAATCACCCCTTATTTTTTACGTCTAAATATTTTATTTGCAAAAAGATTTGTAATACGACAATTGTATCCAGAGTTGTTAAACGCTATTTCTAAAAGTAGCGCGCTACCGTAATAGCTATTTGTCAAAAAAAGTAGCGCGCTACCGCTTTCGCTATTTGTCAAAAAAAGTAGCGCGCTATTAGCTACTTTTTTTCAAAAGTAGCTTTAGCTACTTTTAAGCTACTTTTATAAAAAAAAATTTAGAAACAAATGAAAAAAATTTTTTTTATTTTTTTTTTGCTTATAATGTAAATGTATAATAAATAATATATAAAAATCAACATTTAATAGTTAGTTTAGATTATAAAAAAATAAGCAATATAAATAAATATTTATTTTAATTTGTTGCATTTTAATAATAATATCATTTCAATATTATCATCCCCAAGTCTAGAGCGACGATCAGAAAGTATAAGCTTTGCTTTACTAAATAATCTCTCGACACTAGCACTTGAGGGCAAGGGGGTATTAAATTTCATATATAAATTTTTAATATATGAAAAATTATCAAAAATATTCATCTCAATATATTTTGATTGAAAAAAAAGATCAATTGGATTTTCTATTAAATCATCTTTAATTTCAAAAAAATTATTTGAGGATGTCTTCGTGCTAGATACTCGGCAATCTCTGTTTGTTGGAGTAAGATTATTCAGCTTCGCCATTAGCCTATCTTATTTATAATTTGATATAAATTATGATAATCATAATATTACTAAAATATGTGTGTATTTAGTTAATAAAAATTCTATAAATAATGTGAAATATTAAAATACTAATTTTATAGATTAAATAATAACCATTCCATTCTGATAAAAATCATAACTTAAAATAAATATTATAAATAAATTTGTGATATAACCTAAATGCCTTCAGGTAGTTAGACCCATTATCAGTAACCATCTTGCAAACTTTATTATGAATCCTAAAAGACTTGTGGATGTCAATAATTTTATTTGCAAGTACGTCATATGTCTGGCATCCTATAATCCTTTTAAGGGCTAAGGCTACAGATCTTCTTTTTAAAGTCCTAGGGTCTAACCAATGGCCTGTGATTCCCAAATAAGCTCTAAAAATATTTAATCAGATCAATTTATAAATATAAATAAGTTTTTACCTTCTGTTATGTGTCCAACTATCTGCCGTGGTACATACATAAGATATATATGATAACTCTACTATTAGAGCATCTTTCATCACTTTGAAGTTGTCGGCTATTTTATTCATAAGTGTCTGGCAACATAAAACTGTTGTGCCAGGGGATAAAGTTTTAATCATCAGAGTAAATGATGGATTATCAACCAAAGACACTGGCTGAACTGTGTCAATAATAAAATCAACAATAACTTTATCAACCAATTTTTGTGAAATATTGGCATGTTTATTTTCAGTTAATTTGGTTTGGATAGTATGTCTTTTTGAATGAAGATTCTCCTATACCAAATTTTTTTATATGTTTCTCTATTTCCTTATAGCAATTGGCGTGAACAGTCTAATAAAATAAATAATATTATAATGTAAAAATAACAATTTACCTTTAGGTGTTTCTTCAGATTATAGCTACTCGATTGATTTGATGATATATTTTTTTTACATTTTAAGCACATGAATTTGAATCCAGATTTTGTTTAATATTTATTTTAAAAAATTTTTCAAATTTAGGGAATGGAAAAACGTTATTAGAGCTATTAAGTACATTTTCTTCCATTGAATCTTCCATATCTGAATCACTTTCAAGGATTTGGATATCCATGGACGATACCATTTTAGATTATTAACACAGATTGAAAATATAAATTAAAAATTGAAAATATATTTAAATTTCAAAATTAAATAATAAATTATAAAAATTATAATTAATTATGATATTATATTTAAATTTTCATGTTTATACTTACATTCATTATATTTTTTAAAAGTAGCGAAGTAGCGCGCTACTTAGCTACTTTTAAAAAAAGTAGCGCGCTATAAAATTAAATAATTTAAAAAAAGTAGCGGCTATTAGCTATAGCTACCAAAAAAGATAGCGCGCTACTTTAACAACTCTGATTGTATCTTAGTGACATTAGGAGTTGCAATATTTTTCTTACTTTTATTTTGAAAAAACAATCAGTCATAAAATGATAATTCGACCCATGATTCAGGATCCCAGTTTGAGAAAGGTGATCCTTGGATCCGAAGGTTTGGGTTAGGTCCAGAACCACTCATTTCCTCTAGATTCCTTTTCCGTTTTAGATTAGTATTTCATAATGATTGAAAAAAAACTTTCTTATTTATATTGATATCTTTCGCTCATGGTCCTTTTTTAAAATATTTTACGAAATATATAAATTCCCCCAATGTCAATTATTTTCTTTGTGTTTTTTCTTCTTGGTATTGTTTAAATTCTACATAAAAAAAATTTTTTATTTAACAATATTAATTTTTAAAAAATCATAAAATTATTAATCCAGATTCCTAGCCATAAATTATCCCATGAAACGTCACAGACTTCACAGACTGTCCCGTTCTATCAAAGCCATTATATTTATTTGGGCGACAGCCATTTTTGCCGCCGTACCTATCGCTTCACAAATGGGTGTCATATACCATAACGATGACAAAGGTGACCCCATTAAATCTTCGGCCCAATGCACGTTTAAGCGTAATATAGACTTTATAAAGCATACATTCACTAGCGATTTCGCGCTGTTCTTCCTAATTCCGCTTGTCGTGATCTCCATACTCTACACTCTTATAGGTCTGCAACTTCGAGAAATATCTACCAAATACGATGGCATTAACGTGATGGGTAGAAGTGATGAAACCTTTCGGTCAAGTGGTTGGAATAGCAGCAAATCTAAACTGACTTCTTTCATTTCAAATTCTTCTAAAAAGGAATTCCCCAAGAAGCTAAACTTTCTCGATAGCTCCATACCTCCCAACTCTCGAAATAGGGTTTTGATTATCTCTACCACTTTGCCCTTAAATGACTCCCAAATGCGCGATAAAGATAAAGGTAAAAGATCGCATTCAAGTGAGTATTTCCATAATTCCAATCAACAACATGCCAGATCCAAGAGGTCAAACGGCACCCAAAATCTGCTAAGGAATCTCAAGCAAGAAAATGATCCTAAAAATGATCTTCCAGAGAATAAACCATTAGAAACGATAAGAAATTCGAATACGAGTAACGTTAAACTTCCTGATAATAAAAAATCGTTACAGGTCAACTTTAAAGATAAAGGTTTTTTTTTTCTTCTCTTCTTGGGTTTGAAGATGATCATAATTTATTAATAATTTTGGCAAAGTTTTTTTATATATAAACGAATTTTAATAATTCTCTTTCCTTCCTTCCTTCCTTCCTTCCTTCCTTCCTTCCTTCCTTCCTTCCTTCCTTCCTTCCTTCCTTCCTTCCTTCCTTCCTTCCTTCCTTCCTTCCTTCCTTCCTTCCTTCCTTCCTTCCTTCCTTCCTTCCTTCCTTCCTTCCTTCCTTCCTTCCTTCCTTCCTTCCTTCCTTCCTTCCTTCCTTCCTTCCTTCCTTCCTTCCATCCTTCCTTCCTTCCTCACTTCAATATAATTATATATACATTTGTATTAATTATCAAGATTATTCCTTTTACACATCGGTAGAGAGCTTAGCATTTAATCCACCCGAACAAATATGCAAAGGATCAAGATCTTCAACCAATAATATGTTCAAAAGATTTAAATCGAGCATCAGTTCGTGGCGATCAGAGTCCAAGAAAGAAGAATTAATTAAATTCACACGTTATAACCACAAAAACATTCTAAAAATGCTCAGTGAGTTTATATATTAAAATTTCATTTTTAAAATTTAACGACCCTTAAGGTTTAAGGAAAATTTTAATTATTAGCTCTGCCTTACTTCATGAGATGTGGGTTCCTTACAAAGTGAAAATTTAAGGCACGTGATTTATTACAATCTTATCTCGAGAAATGATAGTAATTAAAATATTTTGTTAAGTTCATAATAAAAATATTTTTAATATAGGTAAATAAAATTTAAATAATGTATAGTTATTTTATTTAGTAATATATAATTAAAACAATTAAATACTAGGAAAAATATATTCACCGAGAAATCTATTAAAATACCAAATAAAAATATATATCTTACTGAAAAATACAGATATTTTGGAATAATTATACTATAGAAAAATAAATAATAATCACGAATAGAGAAGAGAAGAGAAGAGAAGAGAAGAGAAGAGAAGAGAAGAGAAGAGAAGAGAAGAGAAGAGAAGAGAAGAGAAGAGAAGAGAAGAGAAGAGAAGATAAAAATTTTATAATGTCACTTGTAATTTGATATTTAGTAAAATTCGGATAACGTTTATATCATAAATTAAAAATCCTAAGCGTTCATAATAAAAATTTTTGTGAAATTCTTAGGGTGGGTACTTTGAACATGTCGGATTACATTTCTAGGTAAAATCGATGGTTTATCTTTCAGAAATTTTAAAATAATCAGACCCGCAAATGCGAGATTCAAAAAATCCTTCATGTGACGATTACCGATTTAGTGTCATTATTACAGGAATAACTTTATGGCATTAAAATATTACGTAAAATTTAATCACATTTTTAAAAAAATGTTTTTTTTTTGAACAGTGGAGAGATGGGGCAAAGTGGTTCATCACTGGAATCGGATAATCCATCTCGATATTTATTTTTTTTTGAAAATATTTTCGTATTGTATAATCTTGTAAAAATATGTTAAAATTTATTCGAATTTAAATGGTAAGAGGAACCCTATGGAGAATAATAACGCAACGCCTGAATTTAACTAAGTTTACCAGAGTTGTTAAAGGATCTTAGATATAAAAAAATGTGGTATCTGTATCTAGATAGATTTTTGATTAAATAATCTGTATCTAGATATTATTTTAGACGTTGTATCTGTATCTAGATCCATTTAAAAAGTATCTTTTAACAACTCTGACTATAAATTTCATCCTTATTTTTATTTTTTTTTGATGATAAATTTATGGAGTCAAATTTTTTACCCTAAAAAACCAAAAATCTTTTATAACTAAAAATTCTTTTTGTAATTTTTTAAAAAATAAAAATATATTTTTTACTTGAAATTTTTTGGTCGAAACTGCCCACGTTTTCGCTTATTCATATCGTATTTTGATAAGTAAAAAAATTTTTTTTTGGGGTGGTGAATTAAATTTTATAAATTACTACATTTGAAATAAATACTTAAAACACGTTAATGCCAATGACATATAATCGTACCTAGTCTCCACGATGCATTCATAAAAGTGCACATCAATGGAAAACAGCTGGGGAGGCTATTTTGGTTATATCGTTATTAAACATTTTAAAAGAGTGCCCAATTTATTCTTATGTCCGGTGCGAAACTTTATTAAGGAATATGCCTGTTCATCGAAATAACGAAGAAGCAAAAGTTATCAATTTAATAGTAGTTTTTTTAAACATGAGAACATTTACTATAAGGGTTACCAACATGGCGGGTCCAGCTGATTTGAATTCAAACGACGCTTTCGAATGCATCATTATGAATGTGTCGTCAGTTTAGGCATTATTGTATGCCATTGTATAATGCATTATGAAATGTATTATATTACATATTATAAAATTAAGATAAAATGGTTAGGAGAAAAACAGAGCCAAACACTCTGAATTTTCCCGGAATTTTTTTTTTAAGGATCTAAGACTCTTAAAATATCAAAGGTCTCACATATTGATATTTAAAATATGGGGCGCTGTAGGATGGGGTACAGTACGACTATATCATTTTTTTAGGCTGGTTTTATAAATCATCAGTTAGTATTACGTATAAAGATCTTACTAAGAAACATTTGCCATTTTTGAACCAATGAAATTTAATGAAAATATACCACAAAAGGGTCCTTGTTTAGTTTAGCGAGCTGAAAGAAAAATAATGATGGGAAACGGCTATAATGGGTGGAAATATTTTATTTATTCAATTTCAATATTGCGCAATAATAATCGTAGCCTCTTAATTAAATTAGATTTAAGAATATTATTAAAATGTACTTATTATTAGTAGGCAAAAATTTTACCACATTACTTATTTGACGAAACTTCTATATAGGGATGTTAAAAAGCAATTTAAAAAACATGCCTAAAAATCATTTAAATGAGATTTTTAAACGGGTAATTGAATTTAAAAGTTCATTTTTTTTTATTAAAACTCTCAATTAACAAAATGAGAGAATTATAATAAAATGCTGTTGATAATAAATAAATAAAAAAGTTTCCAACAAAATATTGGTGAATTATGACATAAGCGATATTGATATCAAAAAATTTGCGATAAAAGATAGATTTTACCTTCCTTAAGGAGTATAAGTTAGATACAATATTTTTATGAGAAAATCTTGAAATAAAACTTTTATTTGTTTGGGTTTTTCTCGAAAAAAAAACATGGGTTTTTTATTTATCGTGCATTTAATTTTAAATAAATTTTTAATTGAAAAAAAAAATGAAATAACAGTAACAGTGGTAATATGTTTTTTCATATGCTACGCCCCTAACCAGGCTCAAAGGCTGCACTTTTGTTATGTTAAGCATTGGACTGAGAGGAGATTGACGGAATTCAAAGTTCTCTTCTACGTTTCCGGTATCCTATTCTACGTTTCGACCACCATAAACCCCATCCTATACAACGTCATATCATTGAAATACCGCCGGGCCTTCAAGTACACATTTTTAGAGATATTCCACAAGACCTTACCATGCTGGCATTTTTCCCTTTCATTCTGCGAGGATTCCAAAATCAACTTTTGCGGGTATATCTGCAAGTGCTCGCAGCGTCATCTGCACAATAATAATAAAACCAATTTTGCGGTCAAACGCAGCGATGAGCACCTAGAGAAGACTTCCCCTAACACCATCAGCCATTTGAGGTACCATCCCAATTCGCATAACTTCAGAACAACAAATAACACCGGTTTCAATTATAAGAGTCCTCAGGCCAAATCCAAAATAGTATCTTCGCCGCCCGATGATAAAATTCCGCCTCATAATGCTCTAAATAGCAGCATGAATGTGGAACTGAGACGTAAACTGTCTTTATTATCGTCTTCCGTGGGAGGTGAGAAGGCTCCTCAACCTAACAATATTCTTTTAAACTCAATCGTTAAATGGCCTAAATCGCCAGACACGCCGAAAAAAATACTTTCGCCTTCCGGTCAATCCAATCATTCTTACATGCCCTTGAAACAAATGAACCTAAAAACTGGTTCTCGTGGTTCCGGTTATAAAGATCTAGACGATAGGCACCTGACACTTCATAGAACATCTCTTTTCAAAAATAAATTACTCGGAAGTCGGCAAAGTCTTCACCAGTTTGATAATTGTGATTCTACCAGACATTCTAGTCCATCACCATCTAACCGCCTTTTCTTAAGGTCTCCAGCGTCTCTTGCCACCATATCCGATGTCTCCAAAGAAGAATCTAGTTCTATATTGATCAAATGACTCAAATATATTTACGTTGTTCTCGTCGTATATAACATATAAATTATTCTCTTATAAGTATAAAAATAAGCACAATTTTAATAAATTTTATTTCCCCCTAAAATTATTTTATTTTTTTGTTTTTTTTTATTTGTCGTGATAAATTTTTTTGAAATATTATATATTATATATTTTTTATAATTTATATTTAATATTATAAATATAGTAAATTCCAAATAAAGATAACTTTCGCAAATGTTATGTAATATTGATATAAATGTAAATTTTTAATTTATTATTTTGGTTTTCTTTCGTTTTTTTTATCTTCTTATATTTTTTTTTTATATTATCCTCTATAAAATTAATTATATTAATATATAATTTATTTTTTTTTCACTTTTTAACATTTCTTACAAAAAAAAAAATTAAAATTTTATATATGAAAATAACGCAAGCAACTAGAATTAAAAAATATATATAATATATAAAAAGCAATTAAAATGTTATGGGTTTTTCTTCTTTTGTAAATCTAAATATAAAGTATAATTTTAATATAATACAAAATAATTTTTATCTTACATTTAATTATCTAAAAAACAAAACAAAAAATACTATTTCTTATCTTGTCTTCATCTTGGACTTCTTTGTCAAATGTTGAAGCTTTTATTTCTTATTTTGCCTTTAAAATGGAAATTAGTTAGAGGATATATAAATAGATTGATTATAAATATAATAATTTATGAGGTAGGGGGAGACCGGGGTTAGTGTTATCCCGGAGTAGGTAATTTCTTCTCAAATAATTTAAAAATTAATCAACATTGTTTAACAAGATGCTTCAATGGTTCTAGGTTTTATATAAATATGCCCTTGAAAGATTATTAATGCAAAGTTAAAATTTAAAACACGTCATCAAAAGTAGCTTTTTTATATTTTTATTACCAAATTTTTTATATAAAATTCTGAAGGATAAAATAGTAATCTCAATTAAAACATGTATAAAAATATTGATAAATTATTTAATGGTAATTTATTATTATTGAAATTAATTTTTAATTAGATGCGAAGACCAGAGGGCAGATTTTGGCGGGGTGCGTATTAGCCATTTTTTATTTATGGATTTATTTTTATAAAAAGTTTTAACTGCATTTATACGAGAGCATTAGAAATACACAAATTTGTTTAGGGTGACGAATGACAATATGAGGATGGTTGTTGTCTTATGTTTGGTAAATTATATGATAGGTTTTAAGTGACAACAAGTTATTCCGGGGTAATATATATAATATGGATTGAATCTGGGAACATTTAACGAACTTAGACAATGTATATTCTCATTTATTACCTTAGGATTATAGTTACTATAACACGCATCGCTAAAAAAAAATTTGCTTCATCTATTTTTTTAAAAAACACTTTAATATTTTATGGACAAATTTACCCCGATTTTCCTATATATATTTTTTTTTGTAAAACTGAAATTTATAAATTTAAAAAAATTAAACCTTAATATTACTAATTATCTATATTTTACTATCATTGGTACGCCCTAGACCTTAGATTTTTTGGTCTGCTCACGACATATTTTCAACTTTAAAATTGATTTTTTGTTATTTATTTATAAAAAGAAATATTAAAAGTAAACTTTTAATTTTTTTTATTTAAAAGGAATTAGGTTATTGTATATATAAAAAAGGTCTACATAACAATGTAACGTTGGTGAAGTATATATTAATAAAAAGTATTATTCTTTTATATTTATTTGGACCATTCATCTGGAATATTCTGGAGAATCATAAAAAAAAAAAGAGCATAACAATATCATCAAAGAAGATATAATATCTAGCAGTATTTTTAAAATATATTTCAAATTACAAAATGTATCAATGACTGGGTTTTTTTTCTCTCAAGATCACAACATTTTTACATTTACAATATAAAATTATTGAAATCAAATGTTGATTGCTAATACACTTAAATTGTTTTAGTAAAAAATATCTACTTCATTTAAAAAAAAACCATTAATTAGGGCAACCATTTAAATAATTTAGAAGATATTTTTAACAATAGGGCTGTAAAATTTATTATTAATTATCAGCTGTAAAGATTAAGATAGCTGCAACATAATTTAATGAATCTGTAGTAACAAAGATTCTTCTGATCGAAATTGCATATTAACAGCATGAAGATTTCCTAAATGTTAAACTTCCACCAATTGTTTTTCGAAAAAATCTTGATATTTGAATTTCCATTTTAAAAAATATCTCTTTAGAGGTTCATGATATTTTAAAATTCTATCAATGGCGGGTGTTAGTGATAATCATCTATTAAAGACATGACGTACTACACACCATATCATGTACGCGGTGCCTGTGCTTGACATGTGTTAAATAGGAGTTGAGTTTCTACATAATTCGGAAATATTGAGGATTTATGCAATTCTATGTTTTAAATAACTGCTTACAGCTAATGAATTGCTTTAGCTCAAAGTGAACTATAGTAAATAAAATAATTATCTTATAGAAATAAGTCCGATATCATTTATAATCATATTATGTATTTAGACGAATATAAATAATGAAAATTAAATTAAGATTAAAAGAGATTCAGCCTTACGGAAATATGGTCCAGTACAGATAAAATATTAATTACTATAAAATTAAGTAACACAAACAGATGGCTATTATGATGTTGTGCTATTATTGGATAAAACACAATAGAAAGAATGAAATTGACAAACTAGGCTTGTTTTTTTTTTAAAAAAATTTAATTTATTTAAAAATTATAAAAATAAATTAAATACTGTTTCTCAAAATTATTGTATAAATTAAAAATAAAAAATTTTTAGAGCGGGAGATTTTTAATTGCGGGAAGGAAATGTTTGCGTGTAAACTAAATTAATGCGCGAGTCTTTAGCTGAAGGTGAGAGTCGTCCGCTGATGGTGGGAGACCTCGCAACCCTTGTTATAAATGATATCTTTGTATATAATTTCCAACTTATTTTAATATAATGAGAAAATATGTTTTAAAAAGTAGTAAGCAATAAAAATACTAGAATCTGTCGGTTTATAAAAATTGAAGGCAACACGCCCAGATTTACCTCCTACCCCTCAAAATATTTTTATCCGCCCCCCACAGGAGCTTCTTCACCTCTAAAGGATTTAAGGAGGCAAATGGTCATTATCACCCCCCCCCTCCCACAAATTTATGTTATCTAAAAAAGAACTGAGGAATGTATTAAGTGTTAATATAACATGTTAAGATACTAGCAGTATTACAACATTCACAGGTAAGAAAATAAATTATCAAATCCGTAACGATTTTTGTGAACCAAATGGCATCACATAGTAATATTATTGTGACTTTATTATTTATAAGCTATTAAATATTAGAGTTTTAAATTGCCTTAGTTATAAAGTCTATACAACTAGGGGAAGCAAGTTTTTTTTAAAATTATTTTACTCCAAATGAGTTATATATGAAATGTAATGTATATTTTTAAAAAAAATATTGAAGAATTTTGTTCTTTTTATAAATTAAACTATAACAGAAACAAATTAAACATTTGCATAATTGTATATTATTTATTATAACAATACATTATCTAGCTTCTAGTGGTAAGTGAATACAAAAACGTTGCCACAAAATGAACCAACCTATTTTTTATCTTACCTTACCTTATTGTGCAATTTTTCTGGCTTTCTGAATTATATGAATACTAATCATTCCATCTATGCGCGGCCGAAAGGGTGATGATGAGTTAAAAAAATTGGAAATTGGACTAAGAAAATCAGCTGTTTAAAATATTTAAAAATTGGCAAAAAAAAAGAAGAAATTATACAAGGGAGTGGGGTTTATACGTCATTAGGTTACCCTCAAGAGGGCTTTCAGAATCATGGGCAAATAAGAGTATGATGCAATGGTTTGCATACTAACTGGCTATCTTTGTATATTAGTGTTGCAGTTTTACTTTACAAAAAAATGCATTATGCAAATCGTAAACAAAAATAATGTTTTATTAAAATATCCCCGTCTATGTAAATGAGAAAAAAACGCGTGAGATTTGTTTTTTTCATACTTTAACAGTTTTAACAAGTGGGATGTAGAACTTTTTATTCTTCGCTAGTGAGACTATGTAAATGTTGATTAAAGAAAAAGGATATATAATGGAGAAATTATGATGCGAAAAAGAGAATTATTATTTTAACTAAAATTTACTTTTAATTTTTTAATTTAATTTTATTTTTTTTATGATGTTTACTATTATAATTTTGAATAAAGAATTAAAGTTGATTTTATGATTTCGTGATTCCTAATTATTATTAATTTCCTTTATATATATATATTTGTTTTCTATTTTTATATTTAGGTTTTGATGCACAATGACAAGTTTGTCGTTGTGACAATTAGTATTAATCACATTAACATGTATTCCTTAATCGGATTAACATTTTAATGTTGAAGATCAAATTAAGGTAATAATCAAAGATTATGATATTGTTTTATTGCATATTCTGACTAAAAGAACGATTGAATAACGTAAATTATATTATATAATAATACAAAACGATAATTTTTAAAATAATAAATAAATATTATTTTAAAAAAAAATGTATTTAAATTATTAGATAAAATGCTAAAAAGATACAATTACTTTTATACGAATAACCTTTTCATAAATATTATTTGTTATAACAATTATAAAATTTAATATTATCCAATTACATTAAAACCGTCAAATCTCTGAGGAAATTTTCAGTAATTAAACTGGCTATAATGTATGGAGCTGAATGCTGTGCTGGGCAAAAAATAGAAGAAAAGGTTATAGGTATCACGAAAATGGTAATAGGATGCTAGGTAAATCTAAGAAAGAAAGAAAGGGAGTATGTGTAGAATGAATTTTTAAGAGACTTTTAACAAACCCTATATTAATGCCTTAAAATGAAATAAAGATTGATGGCACGCCTGACATTGGTATAAATAGTTATAACTTGCATATTCTTTTTATCATAAGGAGAGACGCCTGACATTGGTATAAATAGTTATAACTTGCATATTCTTTTTATCATAAGGAGAGACTTCAACAAAATAATAAATTATGATACGCTGTAAAGATATTGAGTTTTATTGAAACTGTAGCAATGCGATAGGTTTGATAGCATTAAATTTAAAAATATATTTATATAATTCTTCTAATGATATTATAATATCAAATTAAATAAAGTATCTTTTTTATTAAATTGTATCTTTTCGAAGGTTAATATTTTATTTATATATATTATATCTAGTTAATCTATTATCTATAGTGATAATTAAATATGAATATATAATATTATATAAGACACTCAAACCTACAACCATACAGCATTGTATTATGTGGTATTAAATACCATACTATAAAAAAGCGAAACATTTATAGAAAACAAGTGAGAGATGATATCATAAAATATAAATAAATGAGGAAAAGCTTACGGAAGTGAGATTTATCAGGCAAACTATATATAATGAAAATATAAATTATTTGATTATAAAAATAATACTTATAAAGACAATCGCCGGATCGTTAAAAATAAAATGCTTAATATAAAAATACAATTCTATTTTACCTACCATTTATCTATACGTATTTTTAAAAATTATCATATTTTAAAAAAATAATTTTTTTTTTTGAAAATAAATATTATAAATTATTCACATAGACATTAATTACTCTTTTATTTTGATTCTACTCCGATAATATTTAAGCATAAATTTGTATTTGTAAGAGTGATAAAATAGAAATACAAAGTAAATAAGCTAGTCACCCTAAACTTCCAGTATCAAAGCTCAAACTTTTTTTATAGGGAATTAGGGGTATAATATAGATAAAAGACCGACCCACCCAAAGAATCTCACTTATTGCGACAAAGGTTTAATACCACAGTTATTTACTTTAAGTGCCTAAGCTTTAATTTAATCCATGGAATAATCTAACATATCTCCTCCAACATTGCCTTCTTCTCTTTACTAGATTCTCTTTGCTACTTTCTTGATATTTTCTTAAATTTTTTTTTACTATTCTTAATCATAGTTTTGCAGCTAACATATAATTATATATATATAAAAAATTTGTATGTTTTTTTTTCCTTTTATTGTATTAAACAAACATATTAGATATATTTACTAAAATAAAACAAAAATTGTCACTGGGGAAGATAATTTAAATTCTTATAAAATCCCCGATGATGAACAACATAAATCACTATTCATACGACGAATTTCAGAATCTTAGACAGAAATAATGATTAGGATAAGATAAAAGTTAAATACTAATTATAATGTTAATACCGACTCTTTGTTTACATTTATTTATTTCTATTTTACACATCATTTTATTTATTACTTCATAAAATTTTGATTTTGATAATTCAAAAAAATCCTTTGAAAATATATGTTACATTTTTTCCGAATCTTCTAGTAACATTTTATATCTTCCCCCCGTGATTTCAGATGAATCTTCTGCTACTTCCGATGTATTAGATAGCGGTTTAAAGCCTCTCATGCTGAAATTCGTGAGAAAGTAAGGGCCCTTAGAAATCTGCTAAAGATATGCGTTAAAATATAAGGTATAATAATACATTTCTATGGGCTTTAAGCGCGATGCCATTACAAAAATATAATAAGTTATGTTATAATTCGGTAATTAACAATTGATAAATATTTGAACTGATATCATGACTAGTATTGCATGACTATTAAAAATAAAGTTATTGTGTAATAATCACTTTAAAATTCTTTTCTATTCATTAGAATCTTAAAAGAAACTAGAGGATCTTTTAACATATTAATGAATTGTATATTTATTTTACTTTTATTAAAAATTACTTAAACATTATCATAATTACATTTTTCTTTTGAATTTCATGGCTTCCCTAGAAACTCTTAATCAATTTACTTAAAATTAATATTTTTTGTTTAAAAAAAAATGCAATTTAATATTGATATTTATAATAATAGTTTTAATTTTTCTTTTTATAATATATACAATTATTTCTACATATTCTGAATGTCAATATGAAGATTGGCATCAAAATATTAAGTTCTAAAATTTATTCTTAGTATTTATTAATATATTAAATATTTTATATTCATACTATTCTCAACTACACGTGAAATTAATTCTAACTATAACTTACAAAGGGTTTTCCAGATGATGTTTCAAGAACGGACGATGTTACTAATGGTTTGAAGTGTTTTCCGAAAAAGCTCGATCTCCTAAGATACCTTAGAAAAGCCATTCTGGTTTTCTCATTCATGTATATGTGAAATATGAAGATGAACAAGCCCTATATTATTCATTAAAAGTAACACAATCATAAAAGTTAGGTATTGTGTAATTAGATCTAATTAATGAAAAAAATATTTAAAAAACTGGGGAAATTAATAAGTAAAATTTCTATTGAATTTTCTTATCGAAAAATAAAGGAAGTTTATTGTCTCAAAATAAACAAGTGATAAGATGATTTGTGATAATGTAAATATTCAATCAATTATTGATAAATTATATTTTCAGAACTGCAAGGAGTAAAAAAAAACGTTTTTTTATTACCCATAAGATCTAACTAATTTGAAAATATAAATGTAAGAAATGAAAAGATTCTAAACATTTAAAAAAATATTATTTCACTTGAAATGAGTTGAGCAAACAAAATATATAAGCGAATAAGAGCGTTTTGTAGCTGATAAACATGAATCCAAACAACCAGGTTATTCCAAGAATACACAAGAGCAAGAATGATCCCTTCAGCCATTTCCTATGCCAAAGAAAAATATTTATAAAATGATAAAATATAAACTTCTTAAACCATTGTTGGTGCCCTGCCCTCTACATAAGTATAAATATGAGAATCTAAAAATATATATAAATATTTTTGAAATAATTTGTTTTCTATATTTCTTATATATACTTAATTCCTTTCTTTCCTTCTTTCTTTCTTTCTTTCTTTCTTTCTTTCTTTCTTTCTTTTTTTTTTACTTTCTTTCTTTCTTATTTACTTCCTTTCATTCTTTGCTTCTGTCCTTTATGTATATAAATTCCATATATTATATAATTGCCCATAATTTTTAAAACCAAAATCTCCCGGTTTTATCGTTAGAAGGTGCTTTGATCTGCATGACCTTTAAGAGGGAGTATATGAGAATGAATATGTTCGACAGTATGACAGCCAATACGGGTCCCAGAAAGGCCCAGATAAATCTCTTCTCGGTACTTAACCAGCAATGTTTAGCGGTGCCATACCCGGAAGGCATAATCGCGTAACTCGCCCCTACTATTATGCCCGGTATACCTAACAATAATTATTTGAGAGTGAATAAAAGATTTCGATTGATACAAATTTTGAATTATTTAATTTATAAGATTTTATGATATTTCCTTTGCTAACAAACACCTAAAAATATGTTATCGCTAGGGTTTCTCAATACTTATCCTCTACCCTCTTCGCTTCTAGAAGCTTACAACCTATTATTTAAAAGATATACTGATAAATGTCTCATACCCACTTTCCCTTCCGGGTTAACACTGCCTAGCGGCTTCTAATACTGCGGGAATTAATTTTCAGGATCGACTAAATTCTCAGTGAAGGGGGGGGGGGGGGGTAGGAGGAGATACAAAAACATGACGATTCAGTTAAAATTCTCAAGGGATAATTTGTACCATAAATTATTGATCCTCCATTTGTCCTCATTCTATGGAATATTATAATATCTTGGCATTTTCAATTAATATACTTTCTTATCAAATTATAAGTTATCATTAAAATAATTACTTGTTTTGCTATATATTCACCTTTCTTTATAATGTTTTTTTTGTTATGATTATAATTTTGAATATTTAGCAAGATAATAAAATTTATCTTTTTCGGTATAAATTAATTTTCTAAGAACTCATAGTTAGTCGTCTAATTTTTTTTATCAAGCAAATTATAATTATATCCCTTTATTTTACAGTATATAGTTTAATTATTTTCATACAATTTCCATACAATTACATTTAATTAGATAAAATCTAAAATATTCACTGGTTTCAAATTGCACTCACCTATCTTGCATAGTTAATATATATTTTGTCAGTGTATTTTTTAAGTTTAGTTAGGGAGGGTGGGGGGTAAGAGAGGGAGAGAAGTGAGAAAAGAATAAGGCGGGAGGCGGGACCGGCAATGCTTGCATCAACTTCCTTTAAAAAGTCAATTGTGACAGATTTTATGCTCAAAAGTCAAGATTTTGATAACCCTATTTTGACCCCTTATATTTGGTCCATTTGGAGTTTTTGTTGACCCAAGTATCTTTATTGGTGGGGATATTCTTTTATACATTATTAGAGCGAAAGATCCATGGGTCAACACAAACTTGAAAAGGACCAAATAAAAGTACTAGTGATAAGATTTGTTAGTACCATCATTCTTTCTTTCTTTCTTTCTTTCTTTCTTTCTTTCTTTCTTTCTTTCTTTCTTTCTTTCTTTCTTTCTTTCTTTCTTTCTTTCTCTTCTCTTCTCTTCTCTTCTCTTCTCTTCTCTTCTTTCTTTATTTCTAGGGAGTTAATTTTAGTTGGGAGAGGAGGGTAGAAAGTTTGTCATCAATGCATCAAAGGGCTTAGGAGGACGTAGAAGCTCTTTGCTACTAACTATCCATATGTATTACAAATTTATTCAAAAAAAAGGGTAAAACCGTATCCGACTAAGTAGTAGTATATCTTGTAAGACTTCTCGTCGTCGAACACATTTTTTAGCAGCACAAACAAGTAGACCCCTTCTAGGAGAATCCACATAAAGGTGGCTTGGAAAAAGTAATGCAAAAGTAGCGCCACCAATTTGCAAACTAATTTGTTGTGGACAAAGTTGATTCCAGACAGGAAAATTATTTCGCCGAACATCAGGCATAAACACATGTTTTTATGAATAACGTTTCTTTCGGTGTGCAAAGCTCTGAAATACATTAGTAATCATTGATTAAGATAGAAATTTTTTTTTTAACTGTAATAATTTAGTGATTATAAAAAATTTGATTAATGATAGAAATATACTGCACAGTTCTTTAGTATTATTTTTTTTTTAATTTATTTGCTTAATTTAATTTTAATAAAAAATAAAATATAAGTTAGTCTCCTAATAGTAAAGGATTTTACATTATCTAAAAAATAAACTATTATACTCTTCGGAAATAAGTAGTGTTGTTAAACGGCTCATTTCAAGCCGATTTTTAAATACGGCTAACTTAATATTTTATTAGCGGAATTTATTATGCAAGCCTTAAGATTTTGCTCAAGGTGGCACAAAGGTTTGAACATCTATTAATGAATCTAGAGGCTTAGACAATATATTTCTGGCTAAAATATTAAAATCGAGTCGTTTAACTACACAAGAAATAACCCTAGTATACATAACTCCCTACAATTCATTAGTATCAAAATTATTTTCTATAATTCAGAAATATGTAAATTAAATTGTGGAAAAATTTTTGAGAAGGCAAAATAAAAAGGGGAACGATGATTTCGGAAGCGTTTCGGGAAAAGTTCTGAATATGGGTTCATTCATAAATATTTGCTTTTCCTTCTATAATTCCTGTGCTTTAAACATATATTACCCATTATTTAGTTTTATAATAATGAGAAAAACTATTATTTTTATAAAGATCGAAATTTAAAAGGTTGAATGTTTTTTGACACAAATTTATATTGACACGACCTTAAAAGTATAAATTATAATCTTCAAAAAAAAGAGATTACCTTAATCAATACATTGACGCAATTATGTATCTATTTCTATATTACAAAGATTAATGAATAAAATATTGCATATCAATAAAAGTAGAAATAAAATTAGATCTTTAGGAACACATTCCAGAATGTTCCTAAACGTGGAGAGGAAACGGGAATGGATTATATTCTTTTTTTTACAGGAAATGGGATTGAAATAGGAACATATAAATGCTTTTGTTCTGGGTCGGGTAGCAATACTCATATGAAAAGTTTTCTCAAAGAAATATGACTATTATTATTAAAATTTATAGCCATTTTTTTTTTACAATTTATGATGGTTATTATAAAGATAACTTTTTATCCCAATTTTTTAAAGTCTTCATTTTATTTACCGAACTTTGACAAAAATAGCGAATGTTATTCCCAGGCATATAATGGAAACTACCAGTCCGACGTTAGTTATCAAATCTAATACTAGGGTGTTGATAGGGATCAAATCCGCCAGAACAGACTGGTAATCTGTCAGTACTGAAAAACTTGTCGTGTGATTGCATTGACATTCCAATCTTGATTTTTCGGCGAGTTTGGTGGTGCAACCATGATCGTCCCAATGCAGATTATTCCTAATTTGTTCAGAATAAAATATAATCTATTTATATTATAAATAGGGGCTGTAGGGATTTTTTTAAAAAAATGTAATTAGTTATTAGAATATATACTAGTACTAGTGTTGAAACTACCTATCTTTCGTCAACTATAAAATAAAGTAGCCATATTTTTATCCAGAAATCTAATCAATCTGAGGCTCAACTTAGAAGCTAAATTCAATTATTTAGTCTAAAAGCTTGATTAAGACACAATAGACATGATCAAAGTTAGGTAATTTAGCATAACTATCACTAACCTGCACATCTTATCAGATACCGCATTAACCAAAGTAATAGCATAAAATTGATAAGTGTGTATAGCTATAAGAATAGAGTACAGAGCTCTGTTCAATTCTTATTGAAAAAAAAGAGTGATTAAGTTAATCTACACAAATACATTTACTTTAAGGGATGACGAGAGAGCAATATGGGAGTGACTGATAGATTTTGGACACAAAAAATGTTGTCTCCGATAATAATGGAAAGTTAAACAAATTAGGGAATTCTTAAATTGGCAATATAAGGATCTCCAGATTGATTTTTTTTCACATCGATATAGAAAAAGTGATGAGAGCGCTCCAACTCTTCCTTTCTCCCAATCAGTAAAAAAATCAGATAAAAACTAATAACCTGGCAGAACAAATATTAATATTTTAGGTTCCCTTACAATAAAATTAATTGAAAAGAATGAATAAGCTTTTGATGGAAAATTTTATAAGGTTTGGAAAACAGGGATTTCAGGATTTCTATCTGCAGTATTAGGGATATATCTATCCCCCTCCTTTAAGGCTTGGCGTAATTACCTTCCAAAAATTAAAAATGCGATTCTTGTAATGAAAAAGAAATAATAAAAAATTATAATCTATGAATATTCACCATAAATATGCAAATTTCTAATCAAAACAAACGAAAATAAATTTAACTTTCCATCCCACTCCCAATGGCATAACCCACTGGCCAGAAAAATTTTTTTATTTGCAGCCCTGATCATATGCCTTCCTTTGGAATTATGGTCTCTATTGATGATTGTTCAATATTTGTCATGGCTTATAGAGGAGGATTTTTATAAATAGCTTCCATATATTCGGACACGGCTCCCCTACAATAAGGTAGAATCTATTATTCCTTCCCTTGCAAAAGTTATTTGTGCTGAATAAATTATGCGTGGATGGTGGGAAAAAGATTTCTTATATGTAGCCGCGGTATCGAGATATTTTATTGTGCACAGGCATTTCATGAATTTTGTAAAAAGTGCAACTATACCTGCAATATTTGTTTAACCAGCCCCCGCCCAATGTTTAGGAAATATTTTTAATGGCGGGGCTGGTTAGGCTCTTTATTTTATATTATATAACCTATTTTTTTTAATTGAACTTATAAAATAATGCAAAATTATAAAATAAAAAAAATGGATTTTTAACAAATTGGAAGTCTCTTCTGCTCATTACGAGGCATAGAAATTTTTTAAATTTTTCCCGCCCATCTCTCCGCTCAGTCCATTGTCTTAGAAAATATTTTTTTAATATACTCTCCCAATGTTTCAAATATTTTAAAAAACTCACAACTAGCCCGGACCCTGGGCGGGCGTGGTTGCGCGTGCTAAAACCCGCTCGTTACATAACCTCTAATGAGGATAACCAATCATTTCGATCGTGTGTATCTTTATTTTTCGAGCGGATATTAAATAGGAATTGAAAGTTAGCAAAATACGGTTAGCAAAAAAACTAATGAGGTATCACGATACCTTGGATATACTTTTTGCGTTTTTTAAGGCTCTGCAATAAATTTCTTATAAATTTTAGGTAATACGCAGCTTAGTGACTTTAATTTTAAGTTAAAATAAAATTAACTTATACTTATTTTGAACGTTCCAGAAGGCACATCGATATGTCTTAGTATCCTTAGGGTCCAGTGCGTAAGATATTGTCAATATTTGACTAGCCTTAGGAGATCCAGCTATATTTACCATAACTGATTCATTCTGGTTAGCTCAGTCTTGGAGAAGTAATTTGGTGTTCACAGATATTATGGGATGGCTTATACTATATTTGTAGCTAGATTAGAAGTCACATAAGGAGGGAGTGGGAAGGGAAGTTAGAAAAAAATGATATAGTATATGTAAAATAAAAAAAATAAAAAAATCTCTGAGTAAAATGTATCAATCTACGTAGTTTGAATCTAGTTATATCTTGCGAGAAAGAGAGGGGGGGAGAGAAGAGAAGAGAAGAGAAGAGAAGAAAGAAAGAAAGAAAGAAAGAAAGAAGACGAAAGAAATACTTTCCATAAAAACTATTAAAATAATAATAATTAGCTATGCCAAGCTGAATGGTATCAAAAAAATATTTAAACTCCAGTCATGACACCGATAAGCATTAGCGTTTAAAAAAAATAAATCTAGATCCAAAAATGGCGTCTCACCAGCTGATTTATAAGCAACGGCGCTTCAAAATGGCAGTTTAATGAATGAATCTTCATATATATTTTATTTGGATGTAAATAATATTTACATTTTATTCTTTTTTTTTTAAAAAAACAAACTTATTATCTCCTTTAGTCTCCCCCATATGGTTAGGGTCATTTTTGATAAGCCGTGCTTGATCGAACAGATTATTCAAGTTATTGAAGGCTACGAAAGAAACGAACTCTTCGTAATTACGTGGCGTAATTTTGTTTTTTTCGGGATTCCTATATTCGATCAATTGGCTAAATAGATTGACGGAGACTTCCTCTTTTTTCGCGCTCTTAAATTTCGAAAAATCGCTAGCGGAGTTAAAATTCCAGGTTTCCTTGTCCTTGAGTCCGCTGACCATATCATTTTTTATGACTTCCGTTTTCGAATTTTTTTATTTTTTCCCCCGAATTATATAAAAATGTAAAAAAAAAAGAAATTTGGTATTATTAATATTTTTTACCATTGGGCCTGTATATTCCCCTTAGAATATCTGTCCTAGTTATACTCGCAAAATATATAATAAGTGCGCACAAATTGAGCGTTTACGTTTTACCGTAATTTTTTAATTAAAAAAAACGTAACGCCTCCCTCGTTTAAATTGAGATTGTCTTTTTTATTAATATCCGTCGATTTCTAAATTTTAAATAAGTTTTTTAAAAAAAGGATATGTTATTGAAAATTATATTATCGTCTGCGTTCTTATTTCTTTAAAATCTTAATTTTCTTAAATTTCCTTTTTTTAGGATTATAAGTATAAGTTTATTTAGATTACATTTTCAATATAATAATTACAAAGCGAAGAATTAAAAAAAAAAGTAATGTAAAAGCAAACTAATTTGATTTTTTTTATATGGTTGCTAATGCCAAATGATAATTTTACCAATTTGCGCGAGGTTATTTGAAAGGCAGCGCACAAATTGAACGTTTATGTTTTTCCGTAATTTTTAAATGTATAAAAATAAACTTAACGCCTCCCTCGTTTAAATTGAGGTTGTCTTTTATATTAATATCCGTCGATATCTAAATTTTAAATAAGTTTCTAAAAAAAAGGATATGTCATTGAAAATTATATTATCGTCTGCCTTATTATATCTTTAATTTTTAAATATTCCTTTTTAGGATTATAAGTAAGTTATTTATAATTACATTTTTATATAATATTATTACAAAGAGAAGAATTAAAAAACGTAATGAAAAAGCAGACCTATTTTCGTTTTTTTTAAATGGTTGCTAACACCAAACGGTAATTTTACCAATTTGCAAGACCATTCGAAATGCATTATTTAGACTTGCAACGCAGCGTTTGAAAAGCTCAATTTGTGCTCACTATAATACAAATTTATTCAATATAAAACTTCCTGATCACAGCAGTGGCACGATGTAGGTGGGGGGGGGGGCAAAGACAGAATTTTCTTCTCTATATGAGAAAAACGAGAATTTCTTCTTCTTTTTTTTGTTGAATATTTTCTAAATTCTTGTTTATAAATCATTTTTTTAAATAACTATAATTTTTATTAATTATTTTTTTAAAATCATTTTATAAATAAAAAAAAACCCAAAATTCAAATCTTAAATTTATAAAATCAAAAAAATAATCTTGTGATGAAAACTTCAAACTAGAATAAAACCCAACCAACAAAAATTATTTTCTTGAAATGAAGAATCATTCAAAAAAATAAAAAATAAATAGAAAATGGGAACAATAATATTCTGTATTTCAGAAACTCTATTTGAAGCCTATTTTTAAAAACTGCTAAACTATACATAATTCATCCAGAAACATCGCCAGCCTAAAGATTTTGATCATAGATAGGTACGAAGATTTGGACATCGTTTAGTTTAAATCTCGATGATATTTTTCTGACTAAAGTATTTAGATATCCGTTTTTTTTTAAAAATAGCGGCACAAATTGAGCCGTTTAACAACACTAAAAATAAACGAAAAACTTTTATATAAAAATAATTATATTTTTTTTTTGGTGATAAATGTATTGGATTTATATTAGCATTGATTTATTATTAATAATAGATTAATTTTAACTTAATTTTTTTTTTGGTACCCTTTTAACCCCCTTTATGCTTTGATTTATTGTAAAATACAAATTCCGTCTTAAAATTTAATTCTGGCCGATTTTTTCGCACAACTCCCTTAAGCGGGTGAGTTCTAAATTCAGCTGGGATTCCTTCGACTCACCGGTCCGTTTCCTTACTATGGAAGACTGGGTGGAATTGCTAAGCTATCTTGGTAAACTGGTTAGTTCCGAGCTTGGTATTTTTCTTGCATTTGGCTAAACCCAAGCCATGATTTAGTGATTACAGAAAAATTGCAATGTTCGTTCCAGTTATCATGGTCACTCTTACTACTTTTGATCCTCAAGCTCAGGACCTAATTAAAAGCTGGGTAAACAAATTTTGGTAAGAAAAAAAGGATTTTATCTTCAGACTTGCATATCCAGATCATTAAATCCAATTCCCATTTGCCTTATTAACTCATTCCCCCTATTGATGTTTTTTCATTTATATTTTAAATCTTATTTTATCATTGTTTTATAATTTGTATTATATTCTATTTTCTTTCGGGTTAGAGAGATTAAGTTATACTATCATTATCATTAATATTTTTAAATTTAGAAAATATTTTAGCATTTTATTCTAGACCGAATTATTTTCATGCTAACCGTTTAGATTTCTGTTACGCCACTGCCGGAGTATAATACCATAGAAATTCATGGTTCAAGTAGAAGATTTAACTTTTATATTATTTAAATAATCTTTAAAGAATATGCAGAGTTGGGAATCCTAGTTCATGGAATTGGAAAAATCTAATTAGTATACTTATGTTGGGAAAATTGAATTCAGATTTTTCTTTATTATGTTGAGCCAAGATATCAACATTTTTGTCTATGGAAGATATAATTTGGTTCAAAGTCGCCGTTTTTTCTTGGTTATTCATCGTATTCCAAATACCTTTAGATATTTTTGTTTTATAAAAAGATATTATTATCATATATATATATATATGTTAGCCATCAATTTATTATTTTGTCAACTTTAAATCATTTGAAGCGCGTTTTTTAAAAAAAATTTAAAATTTCTGATTTTACCGGAAATGTATTGTATCTTGTTTGGAATACCTCTACCCTATGAATTTCAGACAATTTTTTTTTCTATAAACTTTTAAACTTAATATAATTTATATTTCGATTTTCCATACGTTTTTTTTATATATAAATTATAAATGAAACTCAAAGATTAACAGCAAAATTATCTACAATTCATAAGATAGGTATTCATTCCAACATGATAGATAGAAAACTTTTCTGATAAACCAAATTTTAAAATAACTCGCTCAAAAAATGGTTTAAAGGTTTGAAAAAATAACACATTATACCACGAAAAAGAAACATATTTTGCCGCTATAACATATAAACTATAGTCTCTTAAATTTGGAAAAACTTTATAATAATTTCTAATTTTTTCTTTTTTAAAGAAAAACGATATCATTCTGATTGATTATGATTGATGTAAGCCCTCAAAAATATAAAAGGGAAAATTTATTATCACTTTTAAAGTAAGAAATAATATTTATCCAAATCTAGTATATAGTTTAAATAGCTGAACCGATTTTTTAAAAAAATATCTAACTCAATATTTTATCCAGAAAAATATCCTGTACTGCTCACTGATTGAACAAATGTTTAGGCATCTTTTAGTGAAATCTCGAGGCCTTAGGGAATATTTTTTTCTGGCTAAAATATTGAGTTAGCACTTTTTTAAAAAAATTCAGCTCAGATCGAGCCTAAAACGCCTATTGGGTAAGATTATTTTTAATGGAAATAAATATGATATAATTAAAAATTATATTGGAAGTATTAAATTGCCTTGAGTGTCGGGGTCTATGAGCTTGCTAGAAGTGCTCCCTATACTATTCATAAATTTCTTAGAAATCTTCTTTTTTTCGTCCTTACCGTACCCTCTATCCATGAGTTGCTTTTCTTGGAGCCTTATGATGTCGTTTAACAAGACCGATGTCACTTGCAGATCCACGGGCCTGAACCCGCTCATATCTTTAGTAGAATTCAGTAAAGAAGAACTGATTTCAAAGGCCGGTAAATTTTGACTCATCTTTGGAATGGAGGAATTATTAAATTTTTTTTTTAAAGATTATCGAAATCATTTTTGCTTTAATTAATGTTCATTTTTTAATAAGTATACTCGTTTTGTTCAAGAGTGAAATTTTTGGGAAAGATCATTGAATATTATAATGTTAATTGTAATATAACCTATTAATTTTTTCCTATTATAACTAAAATTAATTAGAATATTTTAACCTGTTTATAGTGTTGTAATGGCTAGTTTTGAGCCGATTTATAAAAACAGCTGACTCAATATTTCGTCTAGAAAAATATTACCCAGGCCTGAAGATTTTGCTCATAGAAAGAACATAGGTTCTAAACATGTATTATAGAAATCTTGAGGCTTAGGAAATATTTTTTCTGGCTAAAATATTGAGTCAGCTGGTTTTTAAAAATCGTCTCAAAACGAGCCGTTTAACAACACTGCTTGCTTATACCATATTCCATAAATTATTTTTTAAAAATAAATAATTCAAGTTTATTGCGTGGTGTTTTATAATGAAGGACTTGAAACTATGAATTGAATCGATTATAATAAACCTTACCATTTTATTGATTTCGGAGAAAATAGGTTTGACGCATTGCGAATAAACAGTTTTTCCCATGATATTTCTCCCGGTCGTTGTATTCTTTAAGCAAATCCTATACGCTAACCCTATAATGATATAAAAAAAAAGTATTTTTTTAAAAAGCAAATAAAGATAAAACAGGTTAGTTCTGAATAGTGTTGTTAAATTACCTAACTCATGACCATCTCTATTGTGGTCAAGTCAAGCTTTTAGCCCAAAAAACTGAATTAAACCTCTAAGATGATTCTCAAACTTGAAGATTGGTTAGAATATTTTTGGATAAATACATAGCTACGCTGTTTTAAAGTTGACTAATGTCAGGTAATTTAACAATACTAGTGTTCTGAATATGTAATTTCTATCAATAATAAAATACTTTATTAGGGGGAGAAGAAAAAAAGATGCGTCAATTATATTGAACCTTGAGCTTTATCGGGACAGGGTGCAAAGGAATACTGTTCCAAATCCATTTTGTCCCATATGACACCTTCCTCGGTTAAAACTTGGCATTTCATGTTCGCCGATAAGTTTAGCAACGTTACATCATCACTTTCGTCGTAATCGTTTTTCGGGAAATTTAACGATACTATTTTGGTAAATTTCTTGGGCTTTTCGTAAGCTTTTTAAAAGATATTTTAAAATAGGAAAGAATGAGAATTTTGTATAGAGTAAATATTACATGTATCTAATGTTTATGAATGGTTTTTTACAAGATTATTTTTTTTATCTAAGACAACGCAATCAGCCTCTCTACTTCCATTTACCTCATGTTTACCCCCTTTTCCCTCCTCAAATCTCCTAAGTTAATTACTAAAATAAATTTTGTACCCTAAATCCTCATCTTCTCCTTTCATGTAGATTGTAGACATTGAAATATCACTTAGTTTTACTAATTATTTCTAAGATATAAAAATTGTACCATCTACTTTATGCATCACGTTATCTCAAAAATTAAATAGTCCAAAAATAATTTATTTTATTTTTGAATTATTAAAAAAAAACACTTATTTTTGTATTTTTTGAATGATTAATTTGTTTTTTTTTGTTTCTGGGACAAATTCTTTAGACAATTATATTTTGTTTTAAATTCTAATAAAGATCTTACTAACACTTTTTATTGGTGTGCTATATTCTTATCAGCCATGCAATGCGCATGCGTCAAAGATATCATTTAAATATTACTTCTTTATTTCATTAAATATTTTTAAAAAAATTAAAAAAAAAAACACATGCATATTGCCATAATATGTAGGTAAATCAGGTAATGAGTTGGTTTATTGGTTGCATATAATTAATATTTTAATAAAAGTAGCTTGTTTCTATTATATTTTTAAGGTTTTACTTTAATAAACCTTAAAAGAGAGTTACGAGATAAATCAATAACGGGGTCATACTAGTAATAACAGTAAAATAAACAATGTTCAGAAGAAGACTCAGAAGATATCTCAAATACGCTGTAATTCAAACCTCCAGAACATTACATCAAAATTCAATGTTTAATAGAAGGATTAAAAGTGGGTTATCTATATTATAAGATAGACACTTTAGCCCTTTAATAAAATATAAAAAAAACTTGATTGGGCAATTAAACATTCTAATTGGAGTTCCGAAAAATTGGAAATTATATTGTTGGGCCAAATATCTATTATTCTTTCGTTTTAATTTACCTTACTTTATATATGTCTTTTTTTTGTATGTGTTTATATTTATAGACTATTGATTTCATCCACATCTATAACTTTTATAATATTTGGACAATGATATATATATATATATTTACACCCAATTTATTGATAACCCTTTCATAATGGGAAAATGGTTATACTTTACTATTTTTATTGTTTAACTTATCACTCGTTCATTTATAAATTATATTTCACATTTGATGTTATTCATAAATCTTTTCAAATTAATAATTTTAATTAAAAACAAACTCAATTTATAAAGAATTTGGTAAGAAATACTTGCTTCCATATAATTATACATGTTGCTGAGGGGCAGTTCGAAGTTATCCATCTTGAATTAAAGGATATAGAGGGGCATTTTTAAATAAAAAATATCATGTCTTCAAAAATATACGCATTGGGGGGAAGAAGCGTAATTTTTTGAGCGTTTTTTTTGCGCAGATTCACGATACGGTACGCGATACGATAACATCGGTTTATAAAGAAAAAAAAATAACCATAAATGATACTTTAATTTATTCTTTTAAACAGCTGGGTTATTATAGCCTCTGAAATCAGCTGGTTAGGAAATCATTAGAAAAAATTTTTTTTGCTTATTATATACGATGTGAAGGTAATTGACAAATCCAATTATATTCTTGGTCGCAATTCGCACTGGACCATATAGTTCCATCGCTTCTTGCCGCATTCAATTCCATATAAACGCAGTCCTGTCCATCCCTTGGGTGCATCGACTTAATTGCATTTCTCCTTTTGTTATTTTTTTTTAGCCAAATTATTTCTTGTAATTAAAAAGTATCAAAAAAAAAGGATAACTAATTAAATTTATAAGAATAAAAAGATTTTTTTTTAAAATTTAAAGTTTTGATTTTGCCGGAAATGAATTCTATCATGTTTGGAATACCTTGCTGTTAACTTTTTTAACTTTAATATAATTTATATTAGTATTTCATAGATTTTTTTTATATTTAAAATTATAAATGAATGAACGGCGAAATTATCCACAATTCATGAGATAGGTTAATCTTAAACATCATGCTAGGAATTACATTCGGCGTAAAATCTAAATGTTACAAGAAAATATTTTAAAAAAACCATCTCAAAAAAAATGATTTAAAAGTTGAAAAAATAACACATTTCGGCTAACATAAAAAATTATAAATATATTATATCTAACCTGATTCCCTTATATAACTCGCTCAAACTTATATAGTCTAATCATCTTTAATTTATCAAATTTTTCTTCTTATATTTTTAAATTTTTTTACGACTTAAGTCAATAAACTTTTTAAAAAAAACAATTTTGAGAAAATTAACGTTAACTCCCGGAAAACGCTTTAAGATTTCCCCAACATTTGAATTTATTTTAGCAAGAGAGTTTTAAAATTAACCAAAAAAAGTTTGTATTTTTTTTTTTGCAAATTTATTAAACTAGCAAATTCCTCTATATATATATAAAAAAATTTGAAACACTTTTTAAAATCTAAAATCAACTCTTCCTTTGTTGTTGTATTTTCTACGCGCTATGTTTATCAAGAGACCTTGCAGAGGCACCATTTAAACTGCCCAACCCCGCCTGGATTTTTTAAAAAAAATATTTTCGGCATGGCCCGGATTTTTTTGAAATATATAATATTTATTTTTAATTTTTATAATGGCGATTTCAAATATTTGGTTTTAATAATACGGCTGGGCTGGGTTCGGATTTTTTTTTAAAAATAATTTTTTAGGCCCGGCCCAGCGGTTATATTTTTAAAAAAAAATTAAAATACGGCCCTGCCCTAAAACCGGGCCGGACTGAGTTTATGGCCTTTTTTTTGCTAATCAATATTAGATTTAGCTTTAAATTGTTTATTTATATATATATAATATATATAATTTATAAATAATTTTTTTTTTTTTTGTTAATTATTATTATATGTAATATTTATTTTATTTAACAATTACAAGTTTTGTGCAAATTTAAATTTAAAACATTTTCCATTAATTTTTTTTTAAAATTTCGTTCGTAAAATAAAATTATTTAAAGTTGTATAAAATATTGGTAAGAATAAAATAAATAATGTTTATTTTGACAATTTTATTTTGCAAGTAAAATTGATTTTATTTTCTACTACAAATGTTTCTTAGAAACACTCCCTTTTCCTTCCTAGTTCAGCACCTCTAATTTTGCAAAAATTAAAAAATAATGGAAATGTTTTAAATGAAATCTGCCCAAACACTGTAGAAGTTTAACATTTTTTTTTTACCATCAACTAATTGAATTATTCTCTCTTATATAAAGACATATATATATATATTTATAAAACGATCGGTCATTTTACTTTAAATTTTTTTTAATATAAAAATTAGTTTAGGCTCTTAAATATTTCCTTCACTTCACTTTACTTGTCTTCTCTTTCTATATTATATAATTTAAAGTAGTGTGTAATAATGTATAATCATGCGTAAACTACCATAAATAACCTATAACTGGAAGGGTTCCCATCTGCCCACGCAAAGCTTTGGTTGCCTATGTTGTCAATCCTATGCAGGCCGATCCAAAACTTGTTGTAGTTAATCGAACCATTATCCTTCTTTAGCTTAGATCTGGCATCGCGGGCCTTCGATTTGAGCAATTGTTCTATGTATATATCTTCGATGGCATTTAAGCTCAACAAGTCTCCCCCTTTCACTGCGCATTCCTTTCTCGCCTTGTACCAATTCATGAGGGCGGAGGAGTGAAAATTAAAATAATAACAGACCCTTTCGTATTTATAATGATCTCCGTGGCAATATTGTGGTTTGTCGCTGCAGCTAAATCTTAGCGTTAACATCGGTTTAGGATCTCCGCTATCGTTGGAAGCTAAGTTTATGTAAGGGCAAGCGTCAGACGGTAAAAACGTCAGTATGGATGGTAGGGAGCAATTCGCTAAGCCGTGGCATCTGCGCAAAAATTGTATAAAAGGAAACATTTTTTTTTGAACCCCATTTCGCTTTCCTTTTCTTTAAAAAAAATTAAATTGTTTATTTTGGGCATCTTATAAAAGACATATTAGTCAACAAAATAAAAAGGTTAATGATAGTCACTCTACCAAGTCAACGTATAGCAATTTTCTAATATACCGACCAAAATTTGTTAAAATGTAATAAGACTCTTATAATTTAACATATATTATAACGGAATCACGTGGTGTAGTCCGGTGTCCCATATATCATCCTCTCAAGGATGGAACCACCAAGTTAGAATAAAAAAAAAACATGTTCATTGCCGGGATTCGAACCCATAACCATCGGATTGGTAAGCCACCACGCTCTTGCCGACTAGGCCACAGAGGCTTTCCAAAATTCACGATTTTTCAAATATATATTATAAATAAATTTGGTAGTGCCTATTCAAATGAAAAATAAACAAAATTCAAATTTGATAGGCAATACCTCAAGGTAGAGTCTATCATTAACCCCCAAAATAAACCTAATAATTATGGGCGCTTTCTAGAAATGTGGGGAAAAAAATGAAAGACGTTTTCAAAAAAATGAAAGACATTTAAACGATTTATGAAAGATTTTTATTTATCTATTACGATAAGATAGATAAATAGTAAATTTACCATAAAATTAAAATCAGGATTTAAGAAGAAAAAAAAGGGATGGGCTTGGTTACCTTTTTCTCATGATAGCCAAGATTTGCGGAGCGTGACAATAAGTATAAGGGTCGTTAGGGTCGGGGTCAGAAAGATCCCCTAAATAGGCGAACTCCATCGAAATATGGTAATTCGAGGTCTCCATTCCATTTCTGCCGCAAACTAAATGTATGTTTTCCTTGGGACTGAGAGTCAACCTCGTAAGACCTTTTTATACGGCAAGATGTTAAATAAATAAGATATTTATTAATCTTCATTTTTACCTATGTCAAAAATGCAAAAATAAGCCAAGAAGAGGATAAAATACAATAATTATGTTTTGTCTACCTTTTCTCGGGAGAGATAACATATACCTCTGAACTAGTATTATCAAGGGCTAACTCAAGTTTTATCCAGAAAAATATTACCCGAGCCTGAAGATTTTGCTCACAAGCGGCATAAGAGTTTGGACATCTATTAGCGAATTTCGAGACTTGGGCAATATTTTTCTCTATCTAAAATACTGGGTTAACCTTTTGATCGGCTCAAATCCAGCCATTTAACATTAAACTTTAAGGCAAAAAATGCATCAACTAAATAATTATTGTATTATACAGGAAAACATTCGATTTTTTTTTTACTTAGGCAAAAAAAAATTTGCAACTTAACCAATTGCACTTTATTGCTGCATTCTACTAAGAATTTATCTCGAAAATCTACCTAACATTGATGGTTTTTTAAATTAGACTTTTGAAGATTCTTTCAAGGGCTTATAAACAGTCAGACTTTTTGTAAATTATTTTAATGAAAATTTATGGCCAAATTTACATTTTACGTTTCCAATCTTAAAGAGGTAAACCCATAAAGTGGGATCCTTTAGGATTCCTTCTATTCCATTCCATGTTGGCATTTATCAAACCGTTTCTCAGCTCAAAATAAAAGTGTAATTTGGATTTAAATCATATGGTATCTGGATGGGGAATCAGGTGTAACCTCTTTGAAACGAGTAATACTCTAGATTCTATTTTTCTTTTGTTATATCTTGTTTACCTTGACTCACGTTTCTTTCGAGTGTTATTTCTTCCAATATTTCGCAATCGTATCCAGAGACATTATTAGGACACAGGCATTGATATTTGTATTCTAAAAAAATTAACATAAAATCGTATTCTTAAAAAAATACAAATTTTGGGGGTTTGAGATAAGATATATCTCTCTTTCTTTTTCTTTCTTTCTTTCTTTCTTTCTTTCTTTCTTTCTTTCTTTCTTTCTTTCTTTCGTGGTAAAAAAAAATAGTGTTTACTATACATTTTAAATACCATTTGAATGTATGTATGTTGTATAATTATTGAAGTCACCTTGGGAAAAAGATTTTGGCTTTTGGCAGATAATCTGCTTCCTATCCAAACAATCGGAATTTGAGAGGTATAAATTTAGCAGAGAAGTGTTCGATACTTTCAAATCGGGTTGATTATTTAAGGCTAAGCATGGGTGTATCCTACTTTTCTCGTCATTTAACTTTGTTATAAATTAAATTATTCGTACCCCGATTAATATATAAGAATCTAATAATAAAAAACAAAAAAAAACAAAACACGTTGTTTTATATTTTGAAACGGTGTTTGAATATAAGGTATACGATAGATTTAATTTTTTTTCCATTTTGAATATATTTAGACAAATTATCTGGGATTAGAAAGTTTGAAGGAATTTAATAAAAAAAATTTCTAGAAAGACGGGATAAAAACTCGTATGATTGTTCCAAAAATCCTGGCCGGGCTGAAAATTATCCAAAATTTTTTAACAGGTCTATGATGTATAACATCTTGGGTTTGAAACATATTTTACTCCACTCATTTGCTTTCTAAATCCTACATCCATTCTTCCAGGCATGACATACCACGTCAACAACAGAGCTGAGATGGCACATCTTGGATCACCTATAGGGGGTGAAAAGGTCATTGAAACTTTTTTAAACAAATCCCTTAGTATCCAAATTAAACATTTATTTTATATTTACCTGCCCGCCCATCAATCTATTTTTTTAATAAAAAATTATTTCAATATATCTAAAATCCTCCACGCCTTAAATATCATCTCCGATCTTCAAAATTAGTGACTTGCTCGTTACTCACGAAACCCATATCAAGGGCCATCCTGGCTTCAGGCCACTCTTCCCAGCAAGTCTGGTAGTATTGGTTTCCGATCCCCGATACAACTATCTCTCTCAGCCTCTTCTAGTCTGGCTTCTCAATCTATTATCGATAATGGATCTGCTCCTTTAGATACTGACTTTTCTCAGGCCTTCACTTTTTGGGACAGCAATTGCCCATCCACCCTTTGTCGTCCTGCCCCCAGCATTCAAAAAGACTGGGATGCTCCTTTGATAGCCCGTTCCGTTAAATGCCTAATTTCAAACAGGTCCTTTGAGGAAAACCCCAATAATTTAGTATTGTATACAAACTCAGGTTACGAATGGCTGGAAGCCATTAGCAGGTCCAATCTTTGCCTCCTCTAGACTTTTGAACAGCTTCGCATTTCCATAAACTTCCGCCTTGGCTGTAATGCCGTAGTTCTTTCCATATTGTGGCCATCGCATCGAATCGAAAACTTACCATTCCTTGCACTGCAAACTTTCTCATGGACGACAACCGCGTCATAAATCTATCAACAACATTTTCCTAGCTGCCCTCAAAAAAAGTTAATATCCCATCCATCCTCGAACGAGTGGGCCTCTCAAACGAAAACGCTTTACGTCCCAATGGGATATCTCTCATTCCCTGGACTAATAGTCTCCCGCTAGATTGGGACTATACCTGAGTTGATTTTGCAGCAAAGTCCATCCTCTCATTTTCTAACATTGAAACTGCTGAAAAAATACAAATATGCCGATCTCACTAACACAGTGTTCATTCCTATTGTTACCAATACCCTAAGCATATTCCGGAAGTGATGCCCTCAATTTCATTCAAATCATAGGGAGACTTCAATGAAGTATTTTACCTTCGTTAGAAGATTTCCCTGGAAATCTTCAGGTCCTATTTTTTTAGCATTCACTCTTCCCTAAAGTGATTTGCGCCATTTTTTTTTCTCAGTTCTTTTTTATACTTATGTATATATTTTTTTAATTCATTTTTAATATATACTTATTTGTTTTTTTCAAAATATATATATTATTTTAATCATTTAGTGTGTATATCTTATTTCAAAATAAATAAGATGATTTGGAAGAAAGAAAAAAAATTAATATTAAATTTTTTATTAAACATCTACAACATAAATTATTGATCAAAGTGAATATTAATCTTTTGTTAATTTTGTGAGATTCATTAATTATAAATAACTTTTAATTCAAAAATCATCAATATTATTTATATTATATGTCCATAATATAAAATAATATAGACCTAGAGATTATAACTCCTCGAGTAAAATCATGGTAAAAAAAAATTTATTCATATAAAATCGTTTTTTTTTAAATTTTTTTTAAAAAATCCTCATAAATTTTGATCCAAAATTATATTTAAAATTCTTTCGAGAGGTTATTCAAAAAAAATATTTAATTTTTTAAAAAAAATCAATTTTTAGTTCGGACTCTTAAGAGGATAAACTTTTTAAGTAAAATAAATTTAATAAAAATTATTCAAGTTTATTTATTCATTTTTTAATCCTACATTAAAATTTTCTAGCTTTTCACGCAGGTCCCAAGTTTTCTCCTTTTTTCTTAGTATTCCAAACAGTTGTCTGATCTGAATTGAACATGATTTTTGGATTTAAAAAAAAATATTATATACACACCTTTAAGTAAATCTAACCTGTCACCTATTATGTTCAATCAATAAAAAGAAGAACCAAACAAATCTGTGCGTAGCCAGAAATTTTCTACAGGAGTGGGGGGTAGGGCGGAAATTTTTTTTTAAAAATATGCTGATTTATCCTTGGAGCATTAAAAATTTATCAGAACTAATCATGATATATAATTTATTGGAACCAATCATATTTTTTAAAAAATGATCATTTCGAAATACAAATAATAAAATATTAGGAAATGCAAAATATTTAAGAGCGATTCAATGGCATATAATGATACCTAGACTAACGATGCATTCATAATAATGCATTTGAAAGCGTTCGTTGAATGCAAATCAGCTGGATCCGCCATTTTGGTAACCCATGTAGTTCATAACTTGCTTCCATATTATCACGATGATCAGACAATTCGTCAGACATAGGAATAAATTGGCCTCTCGTTTAAAATTTTTAATAATGATATGGATAATCAAAATGGCGTCCCCAGCTGTTGTCATTGATGTGCACTTTTAATGAATGCCTCATCAGCCTTAGGTATTTTAATATATCACTGGAGCGAATATAATATTGCTAAAAAATTATTATTAACTCACAATAATATAGAGCAATATATTAAAATATAATGATTTAAAATGTTAATTAAAATATCGTTCGTATAAAAGGTAAATTTATAATCTTCTTTGCATTTTGCGCCAATTTTTAAATGCTTTGTTCTATGTTGGGGGGGAGAATTAGAACTCTATGTATATTAAGCAAAGTTAGTCCATTAAATCAATTTTAAGATGCCCATGTTTTTGAGATGAAGGTTTTATACATTGTAATGAAGAGAAGGTCCTTCCCATTTGTTCTTGTACTAACTAATTAGTATTGTTTTCCAAATAATATTACAATAAATTTAATATAATTGGAAAAAATTTCTAAAATATATATTAAAGTAATACAATGCTTTCACTGCGTTTCTTGGAAGATTATCTACTAAAACTAATCTTTCACAACAGCAATTTAAATTCTGAAAATTAGTTGGCTTGCAGATACATTTATATCCTCTGGAATAAAATTCAACTAAATATTTTTTTTTCAATATTCCTCGGAACAGATGGAAGATATATATATTTGTGTAAATTGTATAGAGCCATTTGATGTAATTACAAAGCGTTCATTGATTTGAGTCAAATAGGTATCCAAAACTGGAATAAAAAAGGCTATTTTTTTATAGTAATCTTCAATTGAGTACACGTTACTAGTGGAACGATTTGTTTGTCTAGTTGAAAGTCGAAGCTTGTGAATCTCAAATCATATAATTTCGCTTACGTCTCAACATATGGCCGATATTATCTTTTAGTTTTTCCAGTTGGAATATATTAATATTCGCGATTCTCATAACTTTAGCCAAATCCGTTGTAAAAATATTGTATAATGAATAATTTCTTAATGCATTCTAATGTAAAAAAAAAACATCATCAGTGGGTTTGAATCTAATAACGTTGTCATCTTCGGACGAAATATCTGGTTCAGCGTATTCTGATATTTATATCCAAAAATAACTCAAAAATAGTCTCTTTAGATTCAAAAATGCCGTAACAGCTTGATGTCGAAGGCTCCATTTTATCGGGACTAAATTTTGTCTTTTCTTTCTTCCTGTGGCACAAGAATTTTAAAAAATAATTATATTCAGCCTAATATGTCTATATTCGGATATCCCAGCGTTTCAATACACTCTAGAAATTTTGCTTAATCATAGTTATTCATAGAGATATATTAAATAGTAATTTTTTTTGGTTGATAAAATTTACATATCCCTCAGTGTTCAAGGTTTAAAAAAAATAAGAAAATAAACTTAAGAATACTTAACAAATTCACAATTCATGAAAACCTTCCATATTTTTTTTTAAAAAACTTTTGCTCCTAAGGTTGGGTGGGGGACACTACCGTTGGCTACGAGTCTGTCCTGAATTGAATTCACTACTCAGTATTTAGAAGAAAAAAAATTCTAAGATGACCAATTAGGACGCATCCATTTCGACATCATAACAAGATAAATTAAATATAATGTATTTAGTTCGTAATTTAAAAAAAACCTTGAACAAAGGATGAAAATTTGACGGTGAGATAGATCTGTTTGAACTGCCCGTCCAAACCCATTTGTTTTCTAGGAAGGCACCAGAGGTCCAGATACCTAATACCTTATTATCTAGAATGAATTTTGGGAAAAATTATTAATAATCTTTCTATTTTATAATTTAATTATATCATTTGTTGTTTATATTTATTTCCAACTAATCATATTTTTTTGAGCGCGTTTTTTTTTTTTTAAATTTTAAAAAAAAATCGGATTTTACCGAAAATGCATTCCACCATGTTTAGGCCGCATTCATAGTGGATCCGATCCGACACGATTTAACAGCTGATCGATTTTTAAAATCTGTTTATGAGATCAATTTTTTTTGTAATAATATTAATTTTGTCTTTAACTCTATGCATGATAATAACCTAAGAAATATTGGTTTTAATAAAGAAAAATTGATTCTCATAAACCGATTTTAAAAATCGATCAGCTGTTAAATCGTGTGGGATCGGATCCACTATGAATGCGGCCTTAGAATACCTATCTTATGAATTTTAGAAAATTTTGCCTTTAACTCTTCGAGTCATTTATAAACTAATAATAAATGAAGAAAAAATCATTGGGGAAAAAAAAACTAAATATAAATTATATTAAATTCGAAAGTTGATAGCGAAATTGTCTCATATTTATAAGGGTAGGTATCAGTGTTGTTAAACTGCTCGTTTTTAGCCAATTTGGCTAACTCAGTATTTCATCCTGAATACTATTGTTCAAGCCTGAAGATTTTGTTTGTAGAAGGAACTTGGGCATCTATTAGCTAAATCTCGAAGTTTAGGTAAATATTTTCTCGCTAAATAATAAGTTAGCAGCCGTTCAACAACACTATAGTAGGTATTCCAAACATGATAGAATACATTTCTGGTATAATCAAAAATTTAAAATTTTTTAAAAAAAAGGCGCTATAAAAATAACGCATTCCAACCGGAAAAAAAAATACTTTGACGGCTAACAATATACCTAAAAATATAGTTATAATAATAAGTATAAAATATTTATAAAATGATAAAATAAATTGATATACGATACACATATCATGGTAACAATTTATTTTTTATAACCTCAGTTGAGATTTAGTGTAATTTTTTTTAAAAAAATAATAAATTAGGCACTCTAATTCTAATGTTAACATTAATTATTTATAATGGCCCTATAAATTTTAGTCCTCGCAAATGACCAGTTTTTATATAAGTTAACGTCCATTTTGCTTATTCCATATCAAATGTGTTATTTTTCCAACTTTAAGATTTTTTGAGGGGCGTTTTTCCCCCCTAATTTCCGGTATATTTAGAAAATCGACTTTAGTTAACTTTGGGAATCTAACATATTTAGATCATTATTTTTTTTTTGCCCATAAATCTTTCAAATTAATTTAATAAATGAACTCAAAATGTTAATGGAAAAAATTGTTTGAAATTCAGTAGATTAGGTATTTTCAAACGTGCTAGAGAGAATAATATTTTCTAATTAAAATTGCTCATAAAAAAAACGATTTTTAAAATTTGAAAAAATAATAACACGTTGACGCAAACATTATAAATAAATTAAATCATTATGGCAAGGAAAGACATAAAAAAAAATTTAGCCAATTTAATTTGCTTCTTATAAATAATTAATACAATAGGGAATAGAGTGCTTATTCGTTATATTCCTGAAGGCACTTGGAACCTTTTAGTTTTAAAATTTATTATACCGGAGTTTTTTGATAAATGTTTCAGCATGATTGGAACACATACAGTGTAAAATTCGGACAATTCAGCCATGAACCTTAGAACTATTCCTAATTTATGACAAAGTTGCTTTTTACAAAAATTGACAGAAATTGATTGGACACGCCACTTTGGATTTTTATAAAAATTTTGATATAAAATCATTTATAGGGGCAAACCAAAATCGGCTGATTTAAATGAATTGATCTTCAATTTAGGATCATACGTCATCCTGGTAAGGGACCCAAAGAAAATCTTTTGTCAGGAATCCTTAAATTGTTGCGTCACTGAGATTCCTCCTCTACTATGGTATCTTTCTTCGATTCTCTTGACAACTTTAAAGACATCTTATTCATCACATTATTTTCTACCTTATGAAAAATCCTTAGTAACTTGTCGGGCTATTTTTTTTCCTTAGCATTTCACTAATCTTGATTGATCCGACATAAGCAAATGGATTTTTCCCATTAATTTGGATAATTAAGAATCTTCCACAATCCCATTATTATCTCTCTCTCTTGAGCTTCCTTTTCAACAAAGATTTATATTTTAATCTCTCAATTTTTTTTCCCCTTACCGACCTTTAACAAATCTCTTGAAAATGTTTGCTATCATTTGAAATCGAAAGTCTCAAAGAAGGGTTTTATCTGCCACCACTAGTGTTGTTAAACGGCTCGTTTTGAGCCGATTTTTAAAAACGGCTAACTTAATATTTCATCCAGAAAAATATTACGCAATCCTGAAGATTTCGTTTATAGAGGGAACAAAAGTTTAGACATATATTAACAAAATCTTGAGGCTTAAGCAATATATTTCTGACTAAAATATCGAGTTAGCCGTTTTGAAAAATCGACTCAAAACGAACCGTTTAACAACACTAGCCATCACCATACCGTTTTTATTTGCCATTTAAATTTTAAGAATTTCATTATTATGTGGTTAGATTCTTCTATTTATCTATTTCACAATTTATTATAATATAATTAAAAAAAAATTTTAAATAATAATATAATGGGTTCATAAAATATTCGCCTTCCTATTTTTATCATAATGCCTCATTTAACACGACATTTACAATTTATCCATTTTTAGTATTATAAATCTGGCAAAGATTATGAAAATATTTTTAAAAAAACTTTGAAAATCAAATTTGGAAAAATATTTTTATTGTTGTTTATAAAATTTTAAATTTTTTGGCCATAACTGAAATAATAGAATAGGAATCCAAAAGGATCTCTATTCTGGATTCCTGCAAATCTTAAGATAAAGATTTAGGTAATGAGTAGTATATTTTGTAAAGTAGTTATACAATAAGAGAATGTGTACCCGGCATATTCCCGAATTTAAAATTTTCTATATCTTTTATGTCCCGCTTTGAGGTTGGTGTGAATAGGATCGTGCTAATATTCGAACATAGACTCCGACTTTCGAACCAATTATATCCTAAGTTGGTATCTCGATGCATATCCAGAATGATCCTCTTGACGCAGCCATTTTCTACGCTCTTAAAACCTTTGGGGCATAACGTGGGCACTAGCGATTCTGGGTTTGTGTATATTTGCGAAATTAAAAAATATCAAAAGCGCATAAGCCAGGATATTTCTACAAAGGGAGAGATGGTGGGGGTAGGATTATTACTTTTTTGAAACAATTAAACATTTCTTGAATAATAAATCATATTATTTATTAGCCAATCATATTTTCGAAAAAATGACACTTTTTGAACTCAGAGCGAATATAATATATGCATACATTTGGGGAGCGGGAGGAGAGGGGTCTAAGGAGGATATTTTTTTATTAGCTTAAAATGGCTTTCACAAAAGAGTGACATACTTCTGAAAGGGGGAGATTTTGCCTCCCCCCCAGGTTACGCCTATGAGATGCTTGGGGATCCCTGAGAGTTAGAATAAGATAACTAGTCTTTGTGGGGAAAATTTATGAGACTTTGATTGGAAAATCGCTAAAATTGTAAGGGAAAACCGGTTATTTCCATAAAAATGAACCTAATTTATTAGTGCCTTCTTGGCTACCTCCAGCTAAACTGCTAACAGCTCACCAGATTTGAAAGAGAGTGATCGCTTGTAAACAAATGAGATGAAACGAAAATGCTCAGGACTAACAGAAAAATTTGCCAATTTTAAACTAACATGGAGATAGATTATGCTCACTTAAAGGCTCATCAGAATGGAAAGAAGAAGTTCAAAGTTAACATGTTGGATAGGGAAGAGAACATCTTACCCTAAGGCATACCGGAAATCGAATATACTTTATTTCCGCTATATAAAATAAACCCGCATGCTTTGGGGTGGCGTTTTTTGTATTTATAAGTAGAAGAAAATAAAGAATAAGATAAAATCAATAAGTATTATAATATAAACCTGTGATGACGAAACAGGTTCCTCCATTTTTGCAAGGATTTTGTGGACATCTCAGATTCTTGATAGCTTACAAAAAAAACAGTTTTTTTATTCAAATATACATAATTATACTTACTTTTGAAAGATTGAGAATGGAGCATGCCGAGTAGAGGAATGAATATTATGTGCGAATACATAAATTCCAAGATTTCCCGGAAGTTAGAATTCTTTTAGCAGAAATCAGTCAACCATTTTCCGCTAATTTTTTATTTCTTCTTTTCTAACTGAATTTTATTTATTTATTTTTTTTTGTATATACCAGAACAACCAAAAAAAAATGATTATTTTTCTTTTATCTCAAATTAATATCAAATAATTTCCTCATTAATAAATATACAAAAAAATATATAATATTTTTTTAAATTTTATTATTTTTTTAACACTTAGATAATAATTATTACGAGTAAAAATAGTAAAATAATTCCAATCAAATGTTTTTGGATACAATAAGAATGATTGATCCAATCTTTATTATTTGCTATTGCCATTTATTTTTCTCAAAATGAAATTGCGTAGATAGAACGTATTTTCAAATTAAAACTAATACAAAAAAAACGATTATTTATAGGTTTTTTTTATATATATAATATATAATAACTATACAATATAGTATATTTATATGATTTCTAATAAATTATTTAACTTATTTAGACCCAAAAGTAAAACATATATAAATATAAATATTATTGTTTAAAAAAATTTTTGATTTTGTAAATTCAAATTTAAAAAGAATTTTTGATAATATCCTCACCCAAAAATTAGTTTTGTTTTTTTTTAACCTACAAATTATTTTAAAATTTACAACTTGTATTTAACGATGTTTTCTAAGGAAAATCAATATTTTAAAACAATTAGTATTCCTGAAAATAATATGTTCACAAACACTTTGTTTTTTAAAGCATATATTGCAATTTATTTCCCCAAATAATGTTTTAAATCCTCTTTTAAAATGCTTTGATTAAATTTGTACTTATATTTAGTGTTTGTTAAACGGCTCGTTTTGAGCCAATTTTTTTAAAAACGGCAAACTCAATATTTTAGTCAGGCCTCGAGATATCGCTATAATTTAATGTATAGACCTTTGTGCCATCTGTGAGCATAATCTTCGGACTTGCTTTAATATTATTCTGGATAAAATATTGACTTAGCTGGTTTTTGAAAATCGGCTCAAACAGAGCCGTTTAACAACACTACTAATATTCAGAGTTGGTATAGAGATCCTGTATCTAGATATAATAATGTGGTATCTCTATCTGTATCTAGATAGATTTTTGATTAAATAATCTGTATCTAGATATTATTTTAGACGTTGTATCTGTATCTAGATCTATTTAAAAAGTATTTTTTAACAACACTATTAATATTACACATTAAAAGCCCCGAATTAAAAATATTTTTGAATCTGGGTTTAAATATTGTAAATATCTAGAGAGAGAAAATTACAAAAATTATGTGCATAATATTCACATAAAATAATAAAAAACTATTTGGTATTTTAAAATAAAAACAAGAAGAATTTAAACCGATCACAACAATTTTTTATTTCTTGCTTCTAAATTTACTATCATCATCTTCTCAAATAATTTATATCTAACTTATATTCTCGATACTTGTATCCATCATTCGATAATTATTTACTAAAAAAAAATAAAACCCCTATCAATCATACCATTATAAAAAGTCTTTTTTTTGGAAGGGGGGGTTGCTTCTAATTCATCATACTAAATCAGTATGAACTACACAATAAACCCTAATAAACAATAGAAAATAAATAAATAGCAGGAATAACGGATAAACAAGAAAGAGATGAGAGAAATTTTGAATCAGTTCAAGATATAAGATATTAAGGGGTTCATGGGTTCGGAGAGGAAAAAAAATAACTCGCGAAAAGATATGACCTAGTGGAGTAGAATAAAATTTATATAATTGTTATTTTTTTTTCCTCGCACTTATTTTGTTGATATGAATTTATTGAAGGCTCAAGTAAAATTCTATATTGTCACAATGGGTTGGGTTAGGTTGGGGTTGGTTTTTAAGTTTATAAGGGTCTCTTCTCTGCTAAACAAGAAAATATTTCGCCTAAATTAGACGAAATACGTTTTTAAATTTTTTCCTCTAGCTAGTAAGAAAATTTTTCTATTGGTTTATAGAATTGTATGCGACCCCAAATTCTACTGGCAACTGGATTTGCGTATCTTAAAAAGTCATTTAGACATGGTAATTTTAATTTTTACCAAATCTCTCATTTGATCAAAATAAAATTTTAATTATTATTACTATATCTGAATATTGTTTGATCTATTCTAGTTCTTAAATCATTTCCTTTCTTACCCTTATACAAATTTTCGTTATTTCTAATTACATAAAATAAAATCAATATTGGTCTGTAAAAATATTTTTCTATAGGAAATTTCTCGTTTTTTTTTCTCGTTTGTTTCCTTATTTTCCTGCTTTATCCCCCCCCCCCCCAAAAAAAAAAAATTTTTTTTCAGGAAATTTCTTTTAGTTAAAATAGTTTCTCGGGAAATTTGCATCCCTAGTTGCAGATATGCAAATTACTAATCTGGCTAAATTCCAAAGTCTAAGGAAATTTCAGTCGTGTTTTTATCCAAAAAGATTATTTTATCCTGTTCCTGGTATATGTTGGTTGAATAAATTATGGCATTCTCTGCTCTACATTGCTAATGTTGTATTCATACCTAATTGCAGATATACAAACTACTAATCTGGCTAAATTCCAAAGTCTAAGAAAATTTCAGTAGTGTTTTTATCCCAAAAAGATTATTTTATCCTGTTCCTGGTATTGGTTGAATAAATATGGCATTCTCTGCTCTACATTGTTAATGTTGTATATTATTAATCTTGGCTTGGAAAAGGAATGTTTAAGAGCTATCAGAGCAAATTCTGCTCCGTATCTGACTATAAATGATATACGTGCCACGGGGCATGATATATCAAATCGGAAGCGATCAAGTGATTCCGCCTTTTAATTTTTTTTTTAAAAATGGGTTCTTATCGGATTTTGATAAAATTTTAGTTTGTTGTTTAGTAAAAAAGTTTGTCGTTGTTCAAGTATGCCTTTTTTAAAAAAAAATGGTCGTTGTTTAACGAAATGGATGCATGTATTCAAATTTAAAAAAATGATTTTAATAATAAAGGGAATTAATAATATTTCGATAAAAAATATTCGCACGCCGCACCGCCACCATAAAAAGAACAGCAAGTCTGGCGGAAAGACTCGTTTTAATTGGCGTCTTTTCCGGCGGCGGTGCGCAGGTCTACCTATTACTAAAAAAACAACGATATTTTTTTTCAATTATAATCTACTTAAATTTTGTTTTCCGTAATTTTTTCCTGCCTTCAAACTTTTTGTCACATAAAATTTCAAGATTTTAAATAATTAATTTATATAGGAAGATAATTAATTATCATAAAAAATATATAAATTTATAAAAATTGCGAATTTTCCAATAGCTGTATCAGTGAAATAAGCGAAAGGCTGGAAAATTTAAAAAAAAATATACTGGTTATTGAGAGATAATTAAGCTTAATGAGAGAAACTCAATATCAATTAATGGATAATCTTTATTTTTTATCCGATAAAATATTAATTACTTATAATATTGATTTGAATTGTATACTAATTGAATTGATATGTAATAAACTAGTTCCAAAAAAATTAATATAATATTAATGTATATTAATGTATATATCATATAAGAATATTCATAGCGTATTTTAACACAATATTGCGAAAACTTCATATTGCATAAAAATTACAAATTTGGGTATCAATATAATAACTTAGAAACGCGTATAGAGCGTTTATCATATTTTCAATCATTTTTTTGTATCAATTTGACAAAAAAAAAATACAGCCAAACCTAATCGAAATAAGAAAATTTTTTGAAAATAACATAGCCGAGTCTGGCCGAATTTAAAGGGTTCAGAGACACTTTATCATGCCGTCACGATTATTAATTGCTTGAAATAAGGGCAATAGCTTATAAAAATGTTAAAGAAATCCGATATTCCATAATTCGAAACACTTATATGAAATCGTTTTTTTTTTTAAAAATATATCTACATATTTATTTGATAGGTACGGTGTTGTCTTTCATTAATGACTTGAAGGATATAGAGCCTCTTGTTTTAGTAGAATCATTTTGAATCCCTTCTGCAGAATTTTGGAAGCGTTGGGTGAGAACATTGGTATAGGGTTTGACTTCCATAATGCCAGCCTTCATCCCTATTTTTTGGCCGGGCGATACCATCTAACGTAGAAATTGTGTTTATTACCATAAATCTTGTATTATAGAGAGGAGGCTGCAAAATTATTTCGCTGCCATATAAATATGTAAATTTATAAGAGAAAAGATATAATTTAGGATTTCTTCGTCCTTGGGTATATAGATCTTGTTAAAGTAGGAAATAAACTCTGGCAAGTTCCAACATCATCCTCTGAGACATATGCGGGGGCTGATAAACAGCTGGTATCAATCGAAAGTCAAAATCATTTCTTTTTCTATTATCGCTCTCTTAATAAACGAAAATAATACCCAACCCTAGAATATCTGCGAGCGGATATCAGACCCTAAAGGCATTATAGGTGCCTTTTTAAAATCCACCAATACTAATTTATTATAAATATATAAAAATCAGAGTATAATGGAATTAATTATCAATTACTAGTAATTGTATCTCTTGACGAATCTAAAGTAAAAAAAAAAAACTTGAGCATTCTCAAAAAAATCTTCAGAGATCATAATCTTTGAATTTGAATTTTGAAGTTTAATATATTTTCTCAGTCCTTAACCCTCCCAGGCATTTCTCCCCCTGCTTAGAATCGTATAGCAGATTTGTTGCTCAAAAACTTATACATATAATATATATAATAGAGATCGTTGATGTCGTCGGAAAAGCGTCTTGTTCCCAACAAATAAAGAAAACTAGCGTTTTGATTGGTTGGAATAGGATAAAATTTCACCGATTTTATTTATGGAGGGAGATTTTGTTTCATCACGCTTGATAGGCAATTATAAATACAAAAATTGGTTAACAAAAGTAAAATAATCTTAAAAATATATAATTAAATTATATTAACTGCGGTATCGCGTGACATATTAAAAAATTATCATTATCATTATTATTATAATTTAAATTTTATTTTCTTTTAACATTTTTTTTTCAACAAGAAAAGTTCCAACCTTGCATTTGAAA